TACCAAAATACCTGATATTTTAGCACGAAACAACGATTAAGTTGAAAAATGAAAATATCAGTTTTACCACAAGCCTCATATTTTAGTTTTTTTTTTTTTTTTGGTAAAGTGTGGTAAAACTAATTTGTACCTTTTTCAACCTAATTGCTGTTTCATGCTAAAATATTAGATACTTTTTTTATCATGAGTTTTCATGTTACCAGAGACCAAAGTTCAACTATAATATTGCCTCTGGCACCAATATACTGTTTAGTTTGCCATTTACCGTTATGATTTCATTACAAGTGATGAGTCAAGTACCATATCATTTTCAATGTTCAATTAACTACTTTTTACACAATTTCTAATTCAACTGTCACCTTCTCTACTGCCAATATCAAAAATACTTTTATAGGATCTGGTATAGACTAGGTTAGGTTTACAGGATAATTATCTGGCTTATTGACTATATTATATTATATTTAATAAAAAATAATAATACATGAATAGAAACATACGTGTATAATTAAACAACAGAGAACTTATTTACTTATTCCATTTTCATGTTTATTTATCTAAAAGTATTCATTTTGTATACAATGTTCAAAATATAAAAAAAGTTGTACAACCTAAATTATTATACGTCTTATTTTTTATAGGTCAAATATAATTTTTTTTTTATATATATACTTCATCATTAAGTACCTAGTCAGTAGTCATTATTTCACATCAGTTTCTGGAAATGACTCGACTATTTTATTTAGGCCGATACCGAATATTATATTTTATAGTAAACCTATTATAGTGGTTTATAGCTGTATTAAAAAATATATTGCCTATTTAACAATATTTATTATTTACACATATTATGAAATTATTTCCTTAGTTATGTATTTAATATTCGTATTAAAACAATATCATTAGTTTGTATGAGTAGTTAACTTTAAAAAAATATATATACGATGAGATTTAAGAGAATTTTTAGAGGGCAAAAATAAATTCAAATTATTAAGTTCTTTGTGATATCAAGGTTCAAGTTATTGTGAGTTGCGACTAGACTATAGGTAATTTATTAATAATATAAAGTAAAAGGTAAACTATTTTATTATAGAAATAGTTGGTCATTTCATAAAAAAATATTAGTTTCAGTTGATTTCTGAAATTCTTGAACAATCTAATCTGCATGTATGTGGTATCAACAAAGACATTAAGATCTTAGGATTAAAATAGGTCCTTTGTATTTATTTAAAAAAAAAAAAAAACAATTCTAAACGATCTGTGGACTATTTTTATTAATTTCATGATATTTTTTTTTATAAAATAATAAAACCCCATACGCCTCCGCTAAATATTATCCAAATGGCCTCAAACTTTGAGGATAATTTGTTTTGTTATACGTGCGGGTATGCCAAAGGAAATTTTTAAATTCGCAAAATAAGGACCGCCCTTGCTTCTTAAATTGTAAATAAAAATAAAATATATACATGCTTATATTATAAACAATAGTGCAATTAAGAGTGTGGGGGCTACCCTTCCCCTGAAAATATAAAATATTTGTTTATAAATTCTGTGTAGTTCTATATAAATCTACGTAGGTATATTTACATAAATTGTATTTCAATTACAAACATTTTCTTGTAATTTTAAATACGTATCGTTGTGTACGTCTATTTAGTAATTTACTATTCCAAAAACCTACCTAGAAATTAAATAAATCCCCCTCCACCACCGAAAATTAATGCTGGTTGCGTATAAAAGTATGTACCTAAAATAGTCTTGCCTACGGATGTATGTTTAAATAAATTACGATTAATCGACGAAACGTTTCTTCTCGATACATTCCTTGGCATTATCTGATGATGAATGGCAATATCGTGACCACTGCGGAAAAATCATATACCTGCCTATGCGTTTAATGTACCATACAAATCTGTTAATGTTTAGATTAACACGCGAGCAGTATATAATACAGCATATTTTAGCCTATACAAGATACAAGGTAGCCATACCTCGACTTTTGTACGTTTTATATACAATGCTTATCTAACACCTATTTACCAGATCGAGCACATTAATATTTTTTACTAATGGTTCATTATTTACACATCATCGTGTCTGGTACCTGTATATAATGGGTGGTCTCCATCATATTTTTTCCACGGTTACAGTTTACGAATATTAAGTAATACGATTATAAAAAATAAAAATCGTCACTCATCATTTAGTCGTGCAATAGGTATAGGCACTTTTTTACATTTAGGTTGAGTATCGACAGGAAATTTTAACTCTTACTTATAAAGAATGTAATAATGTAAATAATAATATTATCAAATTATTATTTACAACACACATTGGCATATTGTCACGTCATGAATTCATGATTATCGATCGCTTTTACCTACTGCTCACTTTCTTATAATAACATAATATTACGTTTTTGAAATGTTATTGCTCATATAACTCTAGCTATACCTATACCGGATATACCAGCATAACCTTACCAGTGAAAAATTAAATGTTCGTAGATGTAACTTCGTAGCCACCCATCTTTCCCACGATACCAAACCTTTTCCGTCACTATATGTATACTAATATAGGCACAACTAGGGAGATGCTAGGAGATTTTCAGCACCCCCAACCAACTCAATAAGCTTTTTTATATTATTGATTGAATATTTTATTCACGTATTTCATATAATTAATAAGCAGAACAAAATACAGATTACCTACAGACAATGCATGTAGGCATGTAAAGACGAAATAAATAAAGAGTTATGATATATTTTTTTTTAGGTAAACAATAAAATTGTAAATGAAATATGTAATTGGTTATATTTATATTATAGGTATCGTGTAAAGGGGATTGTTGGGGCATTTTCTCCATGGGGCTTCGATGTGTTTATAATTTTAAGACCTTGAAATTTGATGGTTTAGTTGCGGCCATGTAGGTAGATACTTAATATACTATTGTCCATTAATGCTAAACTCCTATTTATAAATTTCAATAATAAATTAACAATAATTAGGTAGGTATTATCACACCGTTTCGATATTAATAATAAATAAATAATTATTTATTATATTAATAATTATTTATTTGTATAGTAGGTATTCAGTTACACATTATGGACCTTTTTTTTTATTCAATTAACCGACAACAGCAGTAAGAGATCAGTTTTTCATATTGCTACTCCACTACTGTCATCGTTTATAAATGGATATAATTAAGTGTTTTGTAAAATCTTGTTTCCCCTTTGCTGGGCAGGCTCACATAATTAACTATACTAATTAAAACTACAGTGAGCGGTGGGAACGCATCACCTCCTAACAGAAATACAGAATGCTAACTTAACCTAACCTGTACATGGCCTTGAACCACTAGTGGCCGAGTCTTCCTAAGAGTTATCCTTGATATCCGGAACTGATGAGTAAGCTGTTGCTATGGCAGCTGGTTGGCCCTTGCCACAGCATCCCTTAACATAATGAGGCCCTACCAACGGCAGAGGTGTATTCAGTGGAGGTAGTTATGACCCCCCCCCCTCATGACATTTGTTCGATCGTCTTTTATAATATTTATTTATTTGTACATTATCCACATTATTAAATTATTTGTTCCCCGAAAATAAAAATGTTGAATACGCTACTGACCTATGACGTAGGTACAAGAGTAAACGCTACGCGATGGACGGTCATTGCGTAGCAGACGGTTAACCATCATGTCAAATCAAACGTAATAACGGCGTGTCGGTCGTCGGTGTAGTAGACGTCAGCGTCTATTACACCGACAATTCTTGATTCCTGGTATCTACCATTTTATGATTGTTTAAAGGTTCTTCATGTTATTTTGACGGTTTTACGATCGAATTGAAAGTTTGTATCGGAAGTCTTAAGCTATCAATCGTCGTATTGCGATCGGACAGTTTGTTGACGCTTGCGCGTTGTGGACTACCCGGTTACGTGATTGGGGCTTCTGAGTGCGATAAATAGTATGATAATACTATTTTTATTTTAACATACGAGTAGTGGCCCTTCAACAATTTTCCAAGTGTCGTATCCTGATTCTAGATTTGTACCATAATTACCTATCGAAAATGTTTGGTTTTAGATTTAGCACTTTGGTAGCTGTGACGGTTTAGGATCAACTATTGTAAATTTGTGTACATCGAAGTCATTAAATACTCGAACTGCAGTTCGAACTTGTCAAAAATAATTTCATATATTAGGTATCTTATTATTATTTAAATATCATTTTTTTGTTATAGATTATATATTTTAATATTTTGAATAATATATCATAAATAATTAGTTAGAAATAATAATTTTTAAGAAACATCAATAATCAATAGGTAGATAATTATAGATAGATAACCTATAGAAAAATAAGTAACCTAGTACAAGATAACACTTAGTATCTAGATAGGTACTACAGGTTGCAAATTTAGTACCTAAGTATATTATAATAATTAGCCTAAATAAATCCGAAAAATTGTTTTAATTTACAAACAAAAATGTGCTGCCATCTGGGTGGTAGTAAAGTAAAACATCTAACTGCAATTATTTACCTCCAGATTATGTTAGTACTTTGGAAAGTACTAATGTGCTGCATAGGTATATAATTTTTTTTTAAATTAATAAAAAGTTAGACTGTATGATTAGCTAAGCCAAGTTTTTGACTATTTGTAAAATTGGGAAAAACTTCTTGTAATTCCATAAGATTTTTGTTGAAATTTGTACAATATTCTAAAAAAACTAGAAAAGAAAATCGATAATTCTTATTTTTATAAGAAAATTGTTTTAAATATAATTTGTAATAGAACATTGATAGTGTATTTAAAAAAATATATAGATTAAAAAATAAATAATTGTTTTTACAAATTAATCAAGTTGGTTTATAAGTGAATAATATAATTTCAAAATTGAAATATAAGACATATATTCTGCAGCATAATAAATATTGATTATTTATATATATATACAGCGTGATTCAATGAGCGTACTCACCCCATTTTTATGGTTAAATTGTGCATAAATTTAAATTCTGATTTTTGGTATTTTTAATTATAGTTAAAGCCTATATTTTTGAATACTTAGTTTTCTCACAACACTTTAAGGAGTATCCTGTGGTGATACCGACTTTTGTTTTTCAAATGAGAACCGTATTAAAAATTCCATAAATAAATTTTGGCGTTAAAATTTTAGATTTCTGTCAACCCATTGACGAGATATTAATTCGCTGTTAAGTTTCGGTAGGAGAAAAGTAGTGGAGCACTAATAAAACGTTGCACATCACACAAATGATACTCCACTACAACTCTCCCCCTACCTAAACTTAAAAGTAGAATATCTGGTTAATGGGTCGACGGAAATCAAACATTTTAATGCCAACATTTATTTTCAGTAATACTTCATCTATTTATGGGATTTTTAATATAAGTTCTCATTTGAAAAACCAAAGTTGGTATTGCCACAGGATACTCCTTAAATGTTCTGAAAAATCTAAGTATTCGAAAATATTCTTCAATATTTTTTTAACAATAAAAAAAAATGAAAATTGTTATCATTGATTTTCTTAGTATTGCAAATAATTAGAAAATTTGTATGGTTTTCAAATAACAATTAATAAAAACTAGAATGATAATAAATAATATTATTTTATTTATATTAGGTAGTGAATAATATAGTTAGATTATTTCCAAGCAACACATCATTAACAGTAAATAAAGGACTGCAATAAATAATAATACAATTATGAAAACTAATTTTTGTTTTCTTTATGTCTATTTCGTAATTATAAAGCAAAGCTCAGTCATGCTCATTATATTAGGGGGTTTTACCCCTATTAGTAGTTCCCATGGTCTCCAATAAGATTTAAGAACATTTAATAACTTTTTGTTTTGTATTTAAATAATACCTATTATAATTTGTTATAAAATAAAGTTTATATTAAATAAAAATATTGCACTATATTATAGTTATTAATTAATATATACAATTTTATAAATATTTAGCTAAATTTAGTTATTTCTAAAAGAATTAATAACACGATAGAAATGGGGGCCAGAATCAAAATACATTTCATTTTTCGATTACTTCGATGATATTTTTCTGCCTTTATTAACTCAGCTGCACCTTGCTTAACCCTAATTTCAGTCTGTTCAATATTGTAATCTATTCGATCCAAAACACTACCCTAAAAATTACATGTATGTTATAATCTCATTTTTGATAGTATAAACAAAACAAATAAAAGTATAAAGTTTGAACTAACTTGTTGAACAACCATATGGGCAAGATCTTTAAATATATTGTTTAATTCAACCACAGAACTAGTTATTTGGTTGGCTTCACGTTCCCATTGTGCAGCCATTTTAGCATTTTCTTCTTCAATAAGTATTGCAGCAAATGTTTGTGTTTGATTTGACTGTTGCATCTGTAATTGTTGCCCAAAAGAATTTGATGAACCATTACCTAACATATCTAGTAAATCAGAATTTGATGTGTTGTCTTCAGTTTCAAAAAACATTTGTGATGACATTGCTTCTCTATGTTTGATTTCTAAAAGTAAAGAAATATAATAACAACATGTAAATCACACAATGAATTTATTATTACTGTTGAGATAATTTTGTTGAGAATTTCGAAATTCATTAAATAAATTTTGTAATGATGACACCAAAGCTGATGATACATTATAAGAAAGTTGGGATTCTTTGTTTCCAGATAATCCACTTGAATGTAATCGAATTTGTTGAATTATTTTTTTTGTCGACGCAAATATCTGTAACACGAGAAAATCACAAACAGTGCATTTTAAAAATCAGCGGCAGAGCGAACAAATATATAAGAAGCAATTGCCTTAGATTTGCCAAATGATTTTTAGAAGATTCGGGGTGGGTGTCTAATTTAAAATTGACATAAAAATGATATAATATATAGCTGTCGAGTAAAGTGAGGTGGATGGTCTACCAAAATATTTTTCTTTAGACATTTTGAGTTCGCAATATCACTAGTACAAATTATTAACAATTTAAAATAGAAAATCATTAAAAGTAGGTAAATATCAACAATATTTTATTTACTCTTGTAATATCTAATGTGAGATCTTGAATGTGTTTTTCTTGTAAACTAGAATCATCTAGAGTAGGCCTCAACACCTGAACATCTTGTAATGATTGCAATTCTTTTAATTTGTTCTGTAACCTAATATTAGAATTTTAAAATAAACATTAAACAATAATATAATATATGACACATCCAATTGATTGAATATATATTATCCTATCCACTTTATTCAATTTGCCTATATTATGAAAGTGGTTATTAAATACACAATATGGATAACTTTTTTGCTATTTTTATGAAATGACTGACACCTGGAAGACATTTTATTCCCACTATGCAATTGCTACATTTTAGTATTATAATAATTAGTTTATTTACTAGAATTTAAAGATATTCAAATAAAATTAGGTAGGTAAACATTTTAATGTACCTACATAAATTGGATGCATTACAAAAACATAACAACTAACAACAATTTTATAAGTATATTAAGGTTAAGAAATAATATGTTACTATAACTATATAAAAGTTGAAAATTTGTTTGCAGATCTATACTTTATTTTACCTCTAAGTGAATAAATATTAATTATAAAAAAAGGAGATTACAAATATGGATCAAGAATCAAACACAGGATGTGTTAAACAAAATGATAACTTACCTCTCTGTTTAAATAAACATGTATGAGTAGTTATATGTAATAAATTATTTATATTATTTATTACCTATGTTGAGCTAATAACAAAAAAAGTTAATTGTTATAAAAGGTATATAGATATAATTATAAGTAATAATAAATAAAGACTGATATTTCATTTTATTTTTTTTTGTAAATAACTAAATGTCCATTCCAAGTAATAAAACCATTTTTACTATAATACGGTATTTTTTATCTATCTCCATGAAAAAATTGATTTCATAAAGTGGATGCAATATATATGTTTAAAATATAAAACAATTATTAAACCTGGTAATAGAATATTGAGCATCTTCAAGTAATCCAGCCCATGTAGGAGGTGATTTTTCTTGAGAACGTAATTCTATGAAATTTTTCTTAAGCACCATAGAACGACCAGCCTCCATTAATGCTGCTTTGTCATTAACACCTTCATCGCTATCTGAGTCATAATCATTGTGCAGAGAACCTTGAAATGAATATATTCCTCTACTTTGAATAGAATTTGTTCTCATCAATAAAAATATATCTGTAAGGCTTCTAGTAGTCATATTTGTATATGGTATTCCTATAGGTAACAGTCATAAAAATAAATTTATTATTTAAAATTGCTATTTCATTTGAAAGTTTTCAACAATTCAAATTTAATATAAATTAAACTAAATGTATTGATTGAAGAATATTAAATATTATTATAATAAATAAGATATTATAAGTACAACACATTTTTCAATATTTTATAGAAATTAAATATTTTAAAAGGTCGTTAAGATTTAATTTACATTAAATATCAAATATTCTTTTTAATATTTTTATATCTATTAACTACTGTATTTGGGTTAACACCATTATGAAAAAAAAAAAAATAGTTATTTTGTTAAATTATTTCTTTTGGAGTCTTTGTTACTGCTTAATAAGATGAAGAAATTAATTAATTACATAATTTTTTTAATTTTTCTTAAATAACACAACTATACATTTTCATGTAATAGAAAAATCTTTGAAAAATAGGTCATTAAAATTAAAAGAAATAAGTAAATTGTTACATTTAAAAAAAATATATAAATTATATTGAATAATATTAGATATACCTAACTAATTGTTTGTAAAATAAAAGTAAAATAATTTTAAATACATCTTACTTTAAAAAGATAATTTTTTTTCACAGTTGATTTCTTTCAAAATAAAATCAGATAAATTCTAAAGACATATGGATAAACTTTTATGAAAAGTTCAGAATGTTTGATTTTTTTCTTTTTTGACACTGTTATCATTCAGTTTTATTAACAAATACCAATATTAACAGCACAATCTAAGACCATGAACATAATCTAAAGGATGTTCAAATCATCCATAGATAAGAGAACTTACACCACTGTTTTATTCGCCACATAAACTGTTTTATTCATTACAGTCCTTATGTATTTGATGATATTTTGAATGGTGAACATGTTTTATTCACTTGTATGAATTGTATTTATTTTAAGGATAGTATTATGCATATCTAGGTATTCAATAAAATATTATCTGAATATGTGTATGCAATAAAAAATTATAGAAACTATCTAAATTTTTCAAAATTTAATTCACTTATATTATTTTGACTGATAAGATTTATTTTAATTTGTAATCTTATAAATTATAAAAAAACGCAAATCATAAATTAAATAATATGATAAGAACATGAGCACATTATGGAATTATCATTAGCAGTACCTATTTTAGAGGAAATTAAATACCAGCAAGTACAAATTCTGTTGATATATTCTCAAAAGTCGAAATACCGCTGATGTTGAACATTATAATAAATAATAATAACAATAGGTAGCGCTACATACTACAAAGCTATTTCCCAGACCTACTACCACAAAACAGTTATGCCTTGTTTACACGTGACGAGTACTCGGCCGAGCACTATCCCGTGTGAACTCAATGAACCAGTACTCGGCCTAGTAATTGGACGAATAAAATAAGCGGGCGAATAAATAGCAACAGTTTCTATTCGCTGGGCCGAGTGACTACTCCCACTACCAAGATGTATGGTACTCGGCGTGACTAAACCGCTAGCTGAGTGTCGTGTAACGAGTAGTTCATTAGTTGTAAATATATATGTGGGGTAGTCACTCGGTCAAGCAAATAGAATGCGTGTAAACGCTTCACTCGGTCAATTCCGGTACTAGACCGAGCAACATAACGAGCGACACGGCCGAGTACTCGTCAAGTGTAAACAAGGCCTTAGACTGATATAATACCATTGGGCATCAGAGCTACGTCTAAGGGTGCCAGAGATGTCCACGCACCGGACGCATAAAAGTATACCCATACCATAATTTGCTAGAGACCGATTTGAAATCGAGAGCTCTGATTAGCTGAATTTCGTTTGTGATAACGTTATACAACAGTATTGATTACAATTTATTAACATGTATTCATTGTTTTCAAATTACCTATATATATTTATTTTTTTTAAACTTTATTATTTGTATTTATTTAATGAAGTATGATTTATCCAGCTTCATTTAAATATGAAATTGTCAAAAGTGACAATGTTAACATTAGTTTAAGATGTGATGCAAATTCTATGGAAGACATTAATTTCTCTACTAAATAATAAATTATATTTATTTCATATGTAATAATGATATAAGAATATAAAAATATGTATTTCCAGAATTATATAATCTTCTTCTTTTTAGTTTCGGCCTTTAAGCTAAACACTAAACCTACTGCTAAACACAAACTTTGCCACTTGTCCCTGATTTTCGCTGCTTCTCTCTATCTGGTATCAGGTTTTATCTTTTTAACGCCTTTTTTCACACAATCTTCCCATCTTAGTTTAGGCGGTCTTTTTCCCATAGGGTCTTCTTCAATGACCCGTTTAACTAACGCTCCCTGTTTACGCCATGCATTAATCTGCTCACCTCAGTCTTCGTTTGATAATCTCTCTAGGTATATTCGGCTTCTGAAAGAGTTTGGGGTTCATCATTATTTGGTTGTTTCCATTCATTGGTTTAACTATCGAAGACTAGGCAGTACATTTTCCATAAAACTTTTCTTTCAAATATCATTAGTCTCGATTCTTCAGTTCTTCTCAATGCACACGTTTCAGAGCCGGATAGGACATAGGACAATAATTGGTCTTAGAAGTGTTGTGTACATCTTAAATTTAGATTCTGAGTGGAGCAATGAAGCTTAGGGTTTAACAAAGATGTTTATTTATTTATTTATTTTTATATGTGCGCAACTTTTTTACTAGAAGACTTGCTCAGATTACTACGAGTAGCACCTTTTCTAAAAGGAAATCGGCATAGGGAGATACTTTAAGGAGGTCATTTTTTGATTTTCTTAAGAGTTCCTAGCAAATGTGAAAAACCAAGATAAAACATGGGAATACCTGGAAAAATCTAGGAAAACTGAGAAATTTGGTACAACATTAAACAAATTTTTTTAAAGAAAATATGTAAAGACTATTTAATTATTTTACTACAGAATGACGTACATATTGTTAACAAAGCATCACTATCAACTGAACTCCGCTCAGAATCGATTTTTTATAAGCAATGGTTTACCGTTAGTTAAAGATATACATTAGGTTCCCGTCTATATCTTACCTTCCCAACTTTCCATCTTCACCAGTAGCTACATCCGTCCCCATTATCTTACATTTCTATTTTAGGTTTTTGCCATTTGGATAAGTTCTTCGATCTCAGAACTTTTTCTGACCCATACTATTCTTTATTAGCTGGTTATATACCTGATGACACCTTTGTCTTAATACCGTTAAGGGTTAGGTTAAGGTTAGGTAGAACTATATATAATATAAGAATAATTATTTGAAAAAAAAAATTGTTTAGTTATAAATATTTAGTTGTGATAAAATATATTTCTCTTTTTTAATATATATATATTCATAATGATTCATTAAGCGTACTCACTCCATTATTTTGGTTAAATTTTGCATGTATTTAAATTCTAAATTTTTGAATTTTTTAGTATAGTTATAGCCGATATTTTCGAATTCTTAAATTGTTTACAACATTTAAGGAGTACCCTACGGTGATACAAATTTTAGTTTTTCAAATGAGGACCTATATTAAAAAATTCTATAAATAGACGGAGTATTACTTTAAATTACATTTTGTGTTAAAATTTTTGATTTCCGTCAATCCATTAACGAGATTCACTTTTAAGTTTTGGTAAGTAGTTGTATTGGTGTATCATTTGTGTGGCAGCATGGCGCGCGGTGATTTATTATTGGATTTCGTAAATTGAGTCCTTCGAAACCATTCATTTTTATTTTTTATATAACACTTATATGAATATAAAGAGCAAGTCCAACGCTGGATTTTATTTATTTAAATTTTATGAAACCGAAATTTATAAATTGTTTTTTTTTTTCATAAGTTGATTTGGTATAGGTATGTTTGTAATAACTGATAGTACACGACTGCACGAACCTAGGTAATCTTGAAAATTAGTCTACAGTAGATAATCGCATCTCCTATATAATATAGTCGTCGATATTTCCCAAATACGATAAGTTCAGTATTAATACGTGACATTTAAGTCAGAATAATTAAGAATATACAAAAAAGCGTTCCGTCTGAAATGGTGTACTCTGAATGCTTATAGTAACTTGGTATTATTTTAGTCGAAAAGTGAAAGGTAAAATTTTGATCAAAAACTGAATTGACCTTTGTTTTACTAAGATACTACAACCATAAGTTCGTTTCAATTATTCTATTAAATAAATAAAAACACATTTTTAATTAAGTAGGTGCCATCTATTTAGGTTTATTCTTTTCTGTGGTACCATGCTTATAAAACGAAGAAACCGAAGAATAAATAATATTGGAAAATATTATACCAACAAAATAGTTTCTCGCGTATATAATATGATGGACTTATTAACACCTATGAATAGGTCTATCTAAAACAAATCATGGTAATATCGTGATTTTAAATAATAACAATATTTTTCACAATCTCTGGATAACATCGACATAAAATTAAACGAACTTGAACATTTTGGCGGGTAAAATATTTCTTAAATTTACGTATAGATAGAGTTCAATATAAGAAAACATTTTATCAATTTTTCGCCATATTATAATCATTCATTTTCAGCGGTAACCGCGGTTGTAGACATTCTGTTACCATGTTTGGACGCTGTTTTTTCTGAGTACATCTACCATTGATTTTTTTTTTTTCGTAATCTGGTAAATTCATTGTAATTGTTTTTATGACTTATACACTTATATTTATTTTATTCTGACAACGAAAATTCAAACACCATTAACTTTGCGAATATTCATTGGTTTACTGTTTAAACCTTTATGCTATAGACATGGCTGCAGTTGAATCACTTGTTAAAGTTGAAGAGAAACCTGTGAACCGAGAAAAGGTAAACAAATATTCTCCAATACAGTTTGAACAAAAATCATTAATATTTTAAATGTTTCAATACATTTCAGACATGTCCATTACTTTTAAGGGTATTTTGTGCGATGGGACATCATAATAGTTTAAATGAATATTTTCGTGGCACTGTTCCCGGGAATGAACTTCAAATATATACATGGTAGGTACATAGTAGGTTATTATATAGACAATGGCAAAAAAAACTTCAATTTTACATTAATGAGGCAAAAGTTAAATTTCAGATCCAACATCCAAAATTAATTGCACTGACTAATCCCTAATTAAAATTGTTTCGTTTCTATTTGTATAGGATCCACTTTTAGGTTTTTTCTCCATCCTTTTCTGTTTATCGTATTAAAATAAATAAATAAATCAATGAAAATATAAATTAATTAGTTTTAGTAATTAAATTGAAGTACATTTTTTTTTTTGTTATAGTCACAGTAATCGGTTTAAACAATTTTAGATGGTAGATCTGAAATTTATCTTTGTTTCACTAATGTAAAATTAAAGTTTATATTGCCACTGTCTAAATATTAAACTGAACATGTTTAGTTCAATTATGTTTATAGCAATAAGTATGGATGAACTTATTTTTTTAAAGTAACTTGAATCATTGACAAATTATCTACAAAAATCTCTGCTGTGCTGCAATTTTTTATTTCATGCAAAAAGTTTATTATTTTTGTCCTCATTAGGATGGATGCAACATTACGTGAATTGACTGGACTGATCAAGGAAGTTAATATTGAGTCAAGAGTTCGTGGAACAACATTTGATTTTGTTTTAGTGACACCCGAGTATAATTCTCCAAGATTTAATGGTTTTGAAATTGGAACTACTGTTGCTGGAAATAGATCAACAGACGATACAAAAACATTAGGAAATACAAGGTAATTTTAGTTAAGTTATACCAATACAATTAATGATTTGTGTTATTTAATTTCTTTAGTAGGGATATGTATAAAACAAAATTCTGAACAAATCTACTTGAGCACACCTCTCGAAATTTTGAATTTTTTTTAGGAAACATATTTTAATATTTTAAAAATTAAAGTTTAATTATGTTTTTTTCACGGAAATCATTAGTTTTAAATTTATTGCTTTTTGAAAAACAATGTTTTGCGTATGTGTATAACTTTATTTTAACGCGCTTTAATGAAGTTTTCAATTTTTGTTTTTGAAACTTAGGCAAATCAAAGTTTTTAAAATGATTGTGTAAAAATAAAAGTCTAGTTTAGCATTCCCTCAAAATTTCGGATTTTTTTTTTGGAATGCAGAAAAATATATTATGCTAATAATTGTATTTTCAAAATTGTATAACAATGTCTGGCAAGTAACAGGGAAAAGTAATAAAAGCATTATCAATTTGTGTTATGCACATGAATAAAACACCGAAAATTGTGAACTTCAAGTTTTCACCTTTTTATATAATTGAATTTATTGTATTTATTTTACCTATACATAAAAGAGCTCTTTACACAGTTTCGGAATACCAAAAAAAAATGTCATAAAAAAATATATAACTTAACATTTACAATTTGTTTTTATTCAAATGATTATAATTTTATTATTGAGTGTTATATTTAAGGTTAGTATTATGATTAGTCAACAATTTTTTTTTAGTCAATTGACTAAGTGCTAACCTTAGTTAAATGTTATTTCTTATATTATATCATTAATTATTAAATATTATTTTAATATTTATTTTACAGGTTTACAATTGGCGATTACTTAGATGTTTGCATTACTCCACCAGATCGTTTTATTAGAAGACCTATGCGCTACCGTAATTAATTTTGTTTTATTGTAACTCACTATTAATAATAAATACAATGGACACTGGAAGTTTTTGATATATTTATTGTTTACACTAATAACACAAGTGTAAAATATTTTTGAATATTATAAAAGCCGAAGTGCTAAACAAGGGTTTTTATTTTTTATTAACCTCCAGCAAGGTCTGCAAATTCACTTAGTGTTGATGGGCGTTCAACAACATTTACACCTTTCATGCTTTTTATGTAAATTTAGTGCTAGTACATATAATAAATGCTCGCCGGAACACATTCAAGCTATACCGAACTAACCAAACTAACATCTTGATTAATTATTAGAGAATACCTAGAAGTGCTGACAACTGCACAAATTTATTTTTAGTTTTATCTTAAGTGCTGTGTAAATACTGCCCACACGTCCACCTGAAGGTTAAGCAATTTATTTTTAAATAATTTTTTAGTAAAATTATTAGTTAACTTTAAGCTTAAATTGTATGGATTCATCTGAAGAAACCTCATTGAATTAGTTATTATGAAATAATCAATGTTTGTATTGATAATAATATAGTTATCATTAGTATGACTTAAAATATAAGAATGGAAATAAAACAGACGAACAAACTTTGCACAGCGGGTGAGCCCCTATTGAAAGTGAGAAGTTGGGAAGGTAGGATGTAAAAGAGAACTCAAAGATTGATCATTGCTAATGAAAAATGATTCAGAGCAAAGTTAAAGTTCGATTATACATTTCTGAAAATCCTTTATATTTATGATTTTTGTCATAATTCAATATTAAAATAATTTAAAAAAAAAATACTACATTAAACTTTTTCTTGTTGACCACAAAATATAACTTATAATTAACCTCCAATTGAGTTTACAGATGATTTTTTTTTTTCTGTAGACAACTTTTCTACGAGTAATTTTTCCTGATTTACAATGATAACACTTTTTAAAAAAAAATCTGACTGGGGAGGTACTTTAAGGAAGTCATTTTTTAATTTCCCCAAGAGTTTTTCAATAAATGGGGAAAAAACGTGAAAATAAGTACAATATTAAAGAAATGATATATTATATATTGTTGACAAAACAATACTATCAGCTGAACTCCACTCAGAATTGGTGTTTTTTTTCGATATGATTTATCGTTTCTTATAGATATACATTAAATTTCCCCTCTACTAGCTTCCCAACTTCTCACCAAAACAGTACCTACACTCATACCCATTACCCTAGGACAGATTTTGTTTGTATAATTTTATCCACAAAATGCCTATTAAATAAAAATGTCTTAAAATCCTCATAAAATTAAAATATTTATAAATAGTTTAAAAGTTTTGAAAATATTACCACATCTAGAAAAGGCAAATATTTTTCGAGTTTTCTGTCCAAATTTCAAGTTTACAAACATTTCTAATTGAATCGTCTACAATAAAAAAAAAAATTTGAAAATAATAATGACTTCCCTAAAGAACAAAGTAAATAAAATTTTCTTTTAAAAAACAAGATTTCTGGTAGAAAATTTGTTCACAGTATAAAATAAAATAAATATTGCAAGACCAATACATCTTGCTACACTTAAATCTAAAATAAGTGTTATACAACAATATAATTAGATAATTAAGTCAACTTATATATTTTAATTTGAAACTGAATATCTATATTTTTTTTTTTTTATAGAATTTGAAGTGCTCAAAAGAAAAAAGAATAAGTTCCAAAATGCAAATGTTAACCGGGAAAATTAGTGTAACATCATGAATGGAAATTTATGTATTTTATATTTTTTTGGATCAGTTTATTGTATCTATTATAATATAATGTATCAAGTTTCAATGGTAATGGATACAAGTGTAATATTTTCTCTTTAAATAACATAAAACATTAATAAATAACAGTTAATAATTCATTTTTGGTATATTTATTTATTAGTTTACATCAAAATAATGATGTAAATTGACATGTACATATTAAATACAATATAATATTGATACATACTTTTATATACGTATGAAGAGACAGAAAGAAATGTATATTACTGTAGTGAATTAATGTAAAATGTGTCACTGATTTATGTCTGTTCTTAAATAGCAACTTTATATGCAATGTTTAAAAATCAGTAATTTCACAATTTAATTTATTGAATTGAATCAATAAAGTAAATAAAAACCAAAAATATTTTTGAGGTTAATACTCAGAAAATAAATTATATGTTTAAAACATTTCTCCTCTATTTTTTCTTATGTATTTTTTAATTTTATATAATAAAATAAGTTTAATAAGTTAATAATTCAAATTTTATATTTGCATATTCGCATTTTTAGTATTAACTTTTAAATATTGTAAACAATTCATAAAAAGTTATTTGGTTTATAAAATTTAAGTTTAGCATTTTAAATTTAATAGCAATGTCTTTTTGTATTAGATAATTATTATATTTTATATACAAATACAATTTTTTAAAAAAAATATTCTACAGTAAAATATTTACGTAAATACTCATTTATACTTCAGACTTTAAGTATTACAATGAGTAATATACAATGGATGGAGCTATGTTGTACACTGTTGTGTTCTAAATAAAATTCCACTTACTGTTAATTTTTGCGTGACATAATAAAGTGGTAAGTTAATCAAAATATCTTTATCAATAACAATGAGTATGCACAATAAATATGTTCATGACAGTAGACGGGGAAGAGATTTGTATTGAGTACAGCCAAGTATACAGAATAAGGTGGACCAAAGATTTTATTTGTAAAGATGTAACAATACAATTAAATCTTAATTCATGAAAAAAAAATTGTTCAGTGTATGAGTAGCGATAATTTTTTTGTGTATTTATATAATTTTTTTTACAGTCTAAATAATCACTGAATAAAAATGGTGTGAATGTAAATCATGAGAATGCGTGCAATAATGAACAAATAAGGTCTTATAGATGATAGTAAAATCAATATTGACAAAGTTATTACCCAAAAAACATAAAAATTTATAAAATGTTGATAAATTATTAAACTGAAATTAATGAAATAATTTTTTTTAAAACAATCTTGCAGTTTTGTAGCTAATAAAATTTAATTTTATATCATTTTTTGTTCAGTGATAATTTAAACCTTAAAAAAGCAATAAAAATCACTGCTCCCAATTACACATGTACAAATAAAATACGAATATATGTTTGAGAATAAAAAATGTGTATGGTTCACCCTAGTACAAAGTCTAAACACACAAGACTCCATTTACTGTAAAACACGACCTAAGGTATCATTATTAATTTATCATAAGAGAAATTTTAATTTGTTATTAATCAATGTCATAATAAAATTAATAATAATAAAAAAAACGAAATTCAAAAAAATGTAATAATAGAAACATCAATTTCATTTAACTATCATATTCATATTTAATTATTTTATTAAAAAAATGTTAAGTATTAAATTCAAAACAAATTGATATTAAGTTATTATTAAAATCACCAAATAATAGATGGGAAATGTTAAGTTCCGAAAAAAATTTACAATTTTACAGGATACTTAAACAATAAGTTTTATTTCTTACTACACTTTCTCAATAAACCTATTATGACCCAAGATAAAGTCTATGATAATCATTAGCTCCAAATGTTGCATTACACTTGGGACATTTCCTTTGTCTTGTCTCGTAACGAGTACGTAAACAGTCCCAACAAAAAACATGAAAACATTTAGTTAGCACTGCGTCTTTTCGTTTTACTTTGCATGATGGGCATGTCAAGGTTTCTTTATATTCCCTAATCTCTTCCATCATGACTTCATCTAATGTTCCAGCTTGCTCAATTTTTTTCATACGTTCGGTTTTCCTCCTAAGCTGTACTATTTCTTCCTAAAATATTTATATTTGATTAAAAAATTTAAATATTGTATTCATAAATGTTATTATTTCCTTGCACATTATTTAAACGAGAGTTAATGGACTATAATAAATTAAGAATTATTTTTTAGAATATGAAGTTCTTTTTGTGGAATACATTTTGTACTGCACAATCATTGAAAATTGTTTGAATTTTATGATCAATTATATTTTAATCCTTCTAAATTAATTTCAAATACTAATGATACCAGCTATTTTTTAAATATAACACAACCAGGTATTTATATTCCTAACTATATTACTTATTTTTATTAAATTTCATAATAAAATATTTGTGAAATCGGCATTATAGTTTTTTTTTTTTTTTTTTTTTTTTTATCTGGAGTTGAAATTATGAATTATCAAAGATTTTACAAAAAAACTATTTAGCTAACATACAGCTTAGTTAACAATAAAAACAATCGAATACCTTTCCTGGCTTATTTAATAATTAAAAAAAGTGTCAGAATGTGCAAGAACTAAATTATGATTGTAATTATTTTTAACTTGAACAAAATAAATTGATTGAATATAAAATTACCTGAAGCCTTTTTGTTTTAAATGCTTCAGCCTCAAGGGCACTGGTTTTTTCTGTAACTACTTGTTGCGCTTCTTTCATTTGTGCATGATATTTATCTATAAAATTAAATATTATGTAACTTTAAACCACATTCAATTTTCAATGAAATAAAAAGTTACCAAGGTGTAATTTTAGGTCAGCAGCAGACTGAGAACTTTCAATTGCTTTGCGTTTGTGCATTTCCATAGCTTGTTGTCTAATTGAACATTCCTTTTCAACTGTTGCTAATGAATTCTGCAGTATGCGTTCTTTTTCTTCCAATTTACGAACTACTGTATTTGTCATTTCTACTTGATTAGTTAATGTTTTAATCTAAAATATAAATTACATAACATTATATTTACAATTTGCTTATTAACACAAACTAGAGCTAACCAATTCTTTAAGAGTATCAGTTTCTTCACGAGCTATCTTGTGTAACTGATTTGATTTTATACGTTCAGTCATTAATTTGAAATTAGCATCATCTTTTTCACGTAATTGTTGAATTAATCTAGAGTTTTGTTCTTGCATATCTTCAAATGCTTGACCGGTCACTTCCATTTCACTTAACATAGCCTCTTCTTCCTGAAAATAATATAAATAAATAAATAAACTCGTCTCTCATCAGTATGATATTTAAAATCCAAATATACTTGTTTATGAGTAGCAACTTGTTTCTGAAGTTGAACAATGTGTTCTTCTAATTGTTTGATTTTGCGTAATGCATCTTCATCAGCCAGTTTTTTGCGTTCTTCACGTTTACCTTCCTAAAGTAGAGACATGAATATTTTTTAAACATAAGTAGTATGAAATACCAATTTGATATTAAACCATCTTAAATATATTACTTGAATTTTTTTTAATGCTTGTTTGGCTTCTTCGAGTTCAGCTCTTAGTTTTTTTTCAGCAGCCATTAATTGAACTTTATCCCTTTGATCTTTACTTACTCCTTTATACATGTCTAAGAGTAATTTCATTTCTTTTTGATCGTTTACAGCTTTTCTATATATTATAATTATAATATAAAAAAGTTTGCAGTAATTAGGCCAATTTCTCTTATATTAACCTTATCAAACAATTTTGAAATGTTTAAGATTTAAATTAATGCAATTTGTAAATATATATAATTTTTTTAGTAATAATTAATTTGGTTTTCGTACAAATATGTTAACTATACTAGACCCACCAGCAAAAACATCTTATTTTATACATCATAATCTTGATAAAAAATTTAAGGCATATTTTTAGACTTTAAAAAAGCTTTTGATTTTGTTGATCATGAAGTGCTATTTAAGAAGTTATCTTATTGTGGTATTAGAGGGAAAGCCTTACTTTTAATAAAATCATTCATTTCAAATAGACCACAGAAAGTTAGATTAGATAATGAATACAGTGATGATTAAAAAAATATGATTTTTCAGTTCCACGATGCACTGTGATTGGTCCTATATTATTTATAATATATATAAATATATATAATGGTCTTTTAAATTTAAAACTTGATGCTGAAATGTATTGCTATGCGGATGATGTTGTTAAGAGATAATAATTATAGTGATTTGACGAATTTGGCTAATAATTGCTTAGATAAAGTTAAATGCTGATGTGATAATAGTAACTTACAACTCAATTTGAATAAGCCTAAGTATATTATCTTTAATATCAATAAAAACATAATTAATTGTTCAGATATATCTCTTTGTGCTCATTCATAAAACTGCAAATATTTAAAACACACTTGTAATTGCATACCTTTAATGAGAGTTGATAGTATCAAATATCTTGGTATTTTATTGGATTATAGGCTTAAATTTAAAGAACATATTTATTATTTAATTAACCTAGTTAGAAAATTATTTTATAAGTTTAAATTACTTTGCCATATGTTAGACAAAAATGCACTACAAATTATATAAATAGCTCGAGCACAATATATTTTTACACATGGTGTAATTGTGTGGGGTAGCTCTTATAATGCACATATTAAAGTATTATCTCTTACAATTAACTAATTAATTAAATTTATTTTATTCAAGACAAGTTTCTATCCCACAAACTTAATTTATAAAGATTTTAATGTGTATAATTTTGACGATCTATTTGTATGTGTTAACTTAATCTACATGTATAAAGTTAATTAAGATGAATTTTTAATAAATTATAATTATAGTACTAGGTCTAAGCTAAAATGTAACTTAAATGTTCCTATTTGTTATACAGTTTTTGGTTCAAAAAGTTCTATTTTTAATAATGGCATTGATTTTTTATGTAAATTCAATATTATAAAGGATAATTTCAGTAGTTTTAAGGTTTTAAAAAAAACATATTAATAATGTTTTTAAATATAGTAAATTGTATTATTAAGTAGGTGGTACTATTTCATTTAACAACGTGTATTTCTCTTCATTGTGGGATATTGAACTCAACCCAACCATTTACAAGCTTTGCTTTTTTGCTGAGTTTCGCAGCTTAATTTTTTAATTTATAAGATGTGCTATATTCTTTACGTTTGCAAAATAAATAAATAATAATAAAAACTGATAATTAATAACAATACATTCTATTTTTTAAAATCACTTTAAATAAAATAATAATGTAAAAAAAAATGTATTAAAATGGTTAATACTCATAAATAATATATAAATACAAAATGTATATATAAAAATATATAAATGTCGTATTATACGACTGATTTCGAATTAAAAATTTATTAGATAGTTGAAATCAGAATCACATTTTACATTTTGACTGTGATATACTTGATGATGAATTTTTAATTCGAAACACTTATCATAATACTCCAAGCGACACATTGATTCATTTATTTATTTATTTTTATGTATACATTTTTAAAGATTTATGCTTTCTATTTCTACAATACTAGTTTAATATACATACATATTATATATGTATGAATTCTATTCTAATTTGTCATTAGTAATGTATTTGTTATATTAGATATGTAATGAATATTAAAGTTGTACAGTGTGTACTAAGTCAAACTTTTCAACTGAAACAATACCTAATAGTTATGCAATTTAATTTATATTTTAAATTTTAAATTCTCAGAATAACAACAAGACAGTTTGACATTGATTGTAATTTTTTTAAACGAACTTTTTTAGTTAGTAGTTTAATATTATCTTCTAAAACCTTTTTCATAGACTCATCTATCAAATCAAAATTGGACACAAATATAACATAAAGCGGTAAATATTGAAAACAGTTTAAATATTTGAAATAGAAACATTTTTAATAAATTATTAAGTTTTAAAACATTAAAAAATGTTTAAAGGTTATTATACTATATTATATTATTCTAAACTATAATGTATAAAAATATTTCTAAAACTGAAAAAAAAAAATTATTTATATATACCTACATATATGTTACGGATAAGGCATAAAAAGGGAGTAAAGTAAATCTTATTCATATGAACAATGTAAGCTAAACATTATCCATTTCTTATATGTACAATGTAAACAGTATCCAATCAGTGCTGGTATATTTTGAAAAAAGTATTATAATTGTAAACTGAAAATGTCAGTACAACACGAATAACACACCAAATACTTCAAATGATACAATTATACCTACAGATTGTTTAGTAAAAACTAAATAATAATAATCCAAAAAAGAAAAATTTGTTTATTAGATAATTACTTAATTTAAATTTTAAAATTAAATATAATTATCATTTATTTGACTAAATACTATGTTAACCTTACATGGGTAATTTAAACATTATCTGTAAAATCTTATACTTCATCCGTAAAATATATATTAATTTGTAATGAAAATATTTAACTTTCATCTAATTTTATGATAACGTTTTTAGTTCTATGTTAAAAAATAATTTAATCCAAATTAATTGAGAAATAAATATTAATATTAATGTTTAACTAAATATGTAAAAAATATCTATTCTACAATATTATTATACTAGCTGCCCTATCCAAAAATTGGAATCAAACATACATTTTTAAACAAATAATTAATAAACTCTAAATTAATAATTTGACAGAAGACACTTAATCTTTAAAATTATACTTCATAAATTGATTATGGTTTCAAGTACCAAAAAGAGTTGATTATAATTATAATTTCAGTAATTTTATTTTTATTTTAGATTTTATAAAACTCAAATTTTGTATTTTTGTTTATGTTTTGGATTAATTAAATTAAAGAAATATTAAAATTGCCTAAAATTAACAATTTAATTTATATGAATACAATTTTTGTAAACATTAAAACCATTAAGTAAGTATATATTATACACTTACATAATGTTGATAGAAGAGAGGTTATGTTATCAAAATAAATTATTTTGGGGGCCGTGAATCAAAAAAGGTTGTGCACCACTGCTCTAGGCAACGCATTTATTAGTTTATTTATTTTTAATTCTTATGTGTAAATATTGTATTTATATATTTATTTATGAAGGTTATCATTTAGTATTTTATTTCCAAACATTTTTATGATTTTTTAAATTCTATAAACATATAATATGTCATTTTTTTAAAAAAAACATAAGAAATTAAAGTTCTTTAATGAGTTTCTGTTACTAATTTTAATTTACTACAAAAGGGGAAGTTCAACATTTTGATTACAAAACATAATATAAAATATGTACATATTATAAAAGGATTTGTGTGCTGCAATGTCAAAAATATGAAAATACAATCTAACAGAAACTAATTTTATTTAAAGTGTATTAAATAATTACTTACTTAAGTTGTGTTTTTAAATCTCTAAGAGCTTCACTTTCCCAATTTCGAATGATATCTTTTTGATTAACAGGTTTTTGATCAGGAGTTGTTGTAGGACCAGTTGTTGATTTATTAGGTGTTTGCTGTCCGTCTTTTATATGCTCTTTTTTTAAACTTTTTAAATCAATTTTTTCATCAATCTGAATATTTTCATCGATTAATTGAGATATACCCTTAAAGGAGGGATAAAATGATTATTTTAATACATCAAATTTATTTATATATAACATATTTTTAATATATCAATTCAATAATTACTTCTAAATCTTCATCTCTTTTCATAATAACTTGAGAAAATGAAAATTCTTCTTTAATATTTTCATTAACTAAACATTCATCTTCTTTACATGTATCTAATAACCCTTCTTTAGAATCTTGAACAGCGGCTGTAATTTGTTGACCTAATTTTAATTTAAAATCTTCTAATTCTTTTTTTAACTATAAAAGTAAAGAAAAAATTAAATTTCAAAATAATATAAATTATTAGTAATAACTAATTATTACCTTTGGTACTTCTGCATTGGCATCTTTATATTTACGTTTGTATCGATGTAATTCACCTTTCAATTGATTATTGTGATTTTGTAATGATGATAACAAATGCCTCATTTCTCTATTTATGGGTCCAGTTTGTTCATTAGCAGCCAAATTCTGTTCAAATTCGATACGTAACATTTCATATTCTTTACGTAATTGTGCATTAACATCTTCAGAATTCATTAATTCAGAACGTAATTTTTTTTGAGCTGATAATTCATCACTCTGAAAAAATGCATATTTTGTTAAATTTAATTCACCATTTAATTATAATTCAGTTTGATTACAAAACAATATGAATATAATTCCAGTTAAATACTAAGAACTACTAGGTTTCACATATCAAATTTGAAGTAAACTAATTTTTAAAATTGCCAAAAATTTAGTAAATAAAACTAAATTTTAATTCCAGTTCTCTGTATTGCCTATTTGTTTTAAGCACACTTAAGTTCCCTGATCATTCAAATCCTCAAAACTTAGTTATATATTTGTTTAAAGTATTTTGATGTTCATTCATTTATTAATACACATATTATAAATTAGAATAACTAACCTCCATTACTTCCATTTGCCGTAAATGAGTATTTTTACTGTTTTGAAGCAATCCAGTTGATTCAATTAGTTGATTTCTCATTAACATAAATTCATTATATAATACAGAAAAATGTGATTGTAAACATTTATATTCTGTTGTTTCAATTATTACACTTTCAGGTAGTTGCCTTAACTAATATTTAAGGAAAAAAGAATAATTTAAATTTAGTTTTTATTTGTATATTACATACAAGATAATATATTCAAAACTACATACATCCATTTTGAGTTTTTCTACTTCCATTAAAGCTTCTCTATGTTGTTGATGTAATTTATCAAGTTCTTGGAGACGATTATTATTCAACTCTCTAAGTTCTTCATTTTCTTTTTGTAATTCTTCAACCTAAATATATAACCAATATATTGTTGACATCAATAAGATAATTTATTATAGACACCTTTTGACATTATTCATTAAATGAGAATTTCAAGAATTTATGCTAAGTGTAGAATTTTCCATTTAAATGTAATAAATTTAATGATGTTACTATAAAAATATAATTTTTTAAATACCCAATTTAACACCCTCAATATTATGGGGTGATAATGGTGAAAATGTGCCACCTTTTATAATTTTAAATCAAATTAATGTTTAAATGCAAAAGTTAAAACTGTGTGTGTTAAGATACCATAATAACAGATTTATATCTATTCGTTAGTTTTATATTTCAAATAGTAAATTAATATAAATAAATAATTAGAAAAACAACAGTAGATATGTTTTGGCCGGGTTCAATTTTTTCCACAATATGAAAACCTTAAATAGCTGAATTATTTTTATATTATTTATGTATTAACCTTTTGAAGTGATAAGCTTGACTGTGTAATTGTTGTATCATGTTTTGGAATTATTTTATCATCAATTTGCATGGCTTCCAATCCTTTTAACTTATCTCTCGATTCTGCTAAATGTGTTTCTAATTTATAATTTCTGTCCAGAATTTTTTGGTATTCATATTGCAATTCTTCAATCTGATTTCGCATTTCAGCCACTTCTGTTTCCTTACAGTTTACATTGTCTTGTGAGCCTGCCAACTAAAATAATAAACATTATAATCATGCATTTCTAATTATTATTTTTGTAATTAATTTAAAGTAAATATTTAAATAAAAAATTATCACCTTTAACGACATTTGATGATACATTTTATGTAATGATGTATTCAAAGCTTGCAACCTTTGATTTTCTACTTGAAGTTCACCATTAGTTTGTCGTATTGTTTCATCCATATTAGGAGCTTCATCTATTTAAAATATTTATTTCATTGTCTATTATTATTTAATAATTTCATTAATATCAATAATAAAATGTATTAGTTTTAAATTTGATTTAAATGATGGATAGATATGATATCATATGATAATGATGTATTAAATATGAAGTATAAATATAAGACATGGTGTACCATCAATTAAGTGTCGAAATTACAGTGCACGATTCAGCTTGATAATTTAGTGCACACAAAATATTTTAGTGCAACAAACATTAAACTAAAAAATATATTTATATCGAAAGAATTTCTGCACTATTACATAGTGTTATGGGTACAGTAGCAGTAGTTATTGGTACCTATATAATATGATATAACTAGTTTAATATAATTTAGTACAATATCAATTGTGTAAAACTATATTTTAGTATATAAATTATCATATTAAGTTTTTATTATTATTAAAGAAAATGTCTTTATATTACAAGCCAAAGAGAAAAATTGATTAGTATATAAAAACAAATAATAGTTAAAGACAGGACAGACGAAATGAGAATAAAATAATTTGAAAGCAATGAAAATGATTTTTTTCCCAGGATGGGTACATTCATCCAGGGGCGTGATTCGGATGTGGATCTCCCCATAAATGTATTAAGCCCTTCTGTAAATATGTATGTATAACTATTATGACTATTATAATAGTAATTAATCACTATTAATTATCATATCACTAGCTGTTGGTTATGAGTTTAACTATAATTATAATTGTTATAAAACAAATAAATAAAATGATAGATCTCTTTCCCCCCCATAAAAAATACCTTTGCAGTCTTCAGTTAATAAGTACACACCAGTCTTATATGGACAATTTCCATTAAATTTATTATAAAGGTGTATCTAAATAAAATTTGAAATTTAATTGATTTGGTATATTTTTTTAAACGTGATGCGCGCTGACTTGTCTTGAGCGTAAATTTCACTGTATTATGGATTGGTGAAATCTCAGCATTAAAATGCTGTGCTAAATTTATGCAGATTCATAAAATATAATACTGTATATTAGAAAACATATTGTAATGTATTGTAAATACATATTTTTAAGGGAATGAAATATTTTTAATCTAATAAAAAAATGTATATGATTTATATCATTCTAATTGAAATAAGCCAAATTAATTTTACATATTTAATAAATAAGTACATATTTTGTAAATGTTTTAGTAATTTTTGACAATGAACAAAATATTCTACGCTATCTAAATAACATTTACGCACTTAGTCACTATAGATTAGAACTAAAACAGGGATAACCGAGCATGAAAAACAATTACTTTAGTGTGCACTGTATGTGCTATTGTGGATATTGGTAATATAAATTTAATCGAATGATATGAATCAAAGAAGTCACTTGACAATCGTTTTTCATAATATGCATATTACGTAGTCGCATTTAGTCATTTACGTGTGTAGTTTCCAGTTTTCAAATGCCGAAAGTTGTAAAAACAAAAGCGAATTATTATTTAAAAGAGTTTCTTAATGAGATATTAAAATAATAGAGTAATTTTATTCAGTTTGTGTTGTGAAAAGGCAGTATCAATAAATCAGAGTTTTTCAGTTACTCAACATAAACCTACATCTAAGCACCAGCAAAATAGACAGTATTTATAATTTTAATAAAAATGTTTAAATTCAGACTTTTATGTCTTCCACTTATTTGTCAACTTTTGATAATGATTTGTGTCGTATTTTAATTCGCGTATTCCCAATTGTTTAATTAAAAAATCGAGAATTCACAGATTTTTTAGAGAAATATACTAAACAACATATTCGAGATGAAAATAACATCAGAAAGAATATAATTTACAAAGAAACATTAAAATTAATTAAACAGTTCAAGATAGATATGATAGATATAATATGAGTTTCAATTTATAAATCAACAGATGCAAACAGCAGGTGATGTAATCATTGGCAAACTATGTTCTGAGCCTAGTAAATTTCTTTTAAATTATGTGCAGTTAGAAAAATGCAATAATAAACCATTGCTATATTATTTAATGATTCTATGAACTTATGGCTAAATGGAGTAAGATATGAAAATTTATTTTTATTTTAAGCTGTTCCTTATATGGTCAAACCTGGTAGTATTTTGACTGTCTTTTTCCCAAACTGATTCATTTAACATGTTTAGCGCATAGCTTTTATCGTGTTTCAGAAACAATAAGATGTAATTATTCTGAAGATAATCAATTAATATCGACTATAAAAAAATATTTCAAGCAGTGTTTCAAAATTTAAAGAAATTTAATCAGATTTTAATTTACTTCATAAACCTATTATAAGATCAGGTATATGGCTAGAAGCCGTCCAATACTGCTGTGATTATTTCAACAAAATAAAAAATGTTATCAAATTTCAATACTGACTCTGTCGCAGCTATTGAAGAGGCAAATTCACTGATGCAAAATATCAATTTAAAAAATAACTTGGCATACATTTCTGCAAATGTTTGTTTTTTTATTTAGACAATTAAATAATTAGAAATTAAAAACATGTCTTTGATAGAAAATATTAGTATTGTAGAAAATTTGCAGTCAAATTAAAAAAAATTATGGATTTCAAACTATTAAAATCATCAAAGATATTTTAAAAAGAAAAAATCAACATGGATCTCTGGACATTGAATTCACTCCTTCTGATATAGTAAATATGAATTATGCCCTTATATAACACATCTGTTAACATATTCTCCGACCAAATTATTGCCATTTTTTATTTGAAAACCTTCAACAATATGCTGTTACTCATTGTTTTGTTTCTGAAGAATAATTCTAGTTTTATACACCTATATCATTTGTATTATTTTTATTTAATATTTATAATTATAAAATATATTTTTTAATAATTTTTAATACTATACCTTTTCTTCGATATTTAATATTTTAAGAAAAATTGATACATATATTGTTTTTTTAATTACAATAAAATCCGTTCCCTACATATATTTAATTTTAAAAAATGACACTTACCTCCCTCAAATTCTCCTTTAAGAGCAAGTGTAATTTTTTCGTTCCTTTGCATGAGTCTATCAAAAGCTTGTATAACTTTTGCTACAGCACGTTTAGACACTTGCACTCGATTAGCTAACTTTTCATCTAATTCTTCTTTATCCCATGTTGATAACTGTACTAAAAACGATGTTGTAGCTTCACTTTCATCTAATTATAACCATTTAAGTTTAAAATGTAATATACTTAAAATTATTGGCACACAAATAAATAAATATATGTAATAAATGTAAGTACTTTTGCTTTCCAATTCATCAGCTGTTTCAGCATCAAATCTTTGTAAGAGTATACGAATATCTTCATTCAATTGATTCCAATAACGATTTACAACATTTAAAACAGAATCATCTTGTGTTTGACGTTTTTCTAACTGTTCTATTCTATTTCTTAATTCTGTTTCTAATCTATTTCTTTGTTCTAATCTCTAAAAAATAATAACAAATTTAAAATAAAATATTTTATTTAATTTATATACTTATATAATATTATACTAACTTGTGCTAGTTTTTTGTTTTGGTATTGTAGTACTTTCATATCTAAATCTTCCATTGTAGAAATAGGCCCAAGTCTAACTGGCTCAAACTGTACTTTTTTTATGGGTGGTTCTTCAGAACCCCCTTCGTCAATATTTCTCTTGGACATTTTCAATAATGAATATTGTTGATAAAAAACGTGTATAAAATTATTTCTGAAAAAAAAAATATTATATTACATAACATAATATTTCATGAATAAATATGGAGCAAACATGTTATGTATTATACATAAATAGAATAAAAAATAAATTAAAACTATTTTGGTATGTAAACAAGATATGTGGGCTCCACCTATTTTGAAGATTGCCCTACATTTAGAGTTTATAAATACATTTTAAATTACAATAAACCATAGACGCAGAATATTTAATTCATACCTAATGAGTGTTTTCTTTATTACAATATAAATTACCTATGCGATTTTTAATGCACTTGATAATATTATTTATGATTTTATATTTTATTTTATAGTACAAGATTATTATTTTATTATATTCAGAACCAGTTCTAGAATTTGTTAAGTTTAAAGCAAAATACATGTTTATTAGTTATTATTATTATTATTTAATCAATTGTATCACTTTATATTATGTTAATATTAATATTACTCAATGTAAATGTATGTAACCTGGATTATTTTCAATGAATAAAAATCAAATAACAATTGTAATATGAAACATGCTAGTAAATAGGGAAATAAAATATTATCTAGATACTGAACAATATTTTAACAACAAATTTTAACTAATTAGAACCGAATGAGAAATATCCATTAAGTAGTTTAGTGGCAGAACACTCATTTATGTGAGAAACTCAACATTATTCTAGTTTAAGGGTAAATTGTTGAAAATGTTTTAAAAGCAACTAAAATATACAATTGTTTAAAATAAAAATATCAATTCAACAGATGTTAATAATAATTTACCTCATACTTTAAAGTGTAATGAAGAAAGTTTATCATTTTATAATAATGTTTGTATCATTAGATTAATATAAACATAATTTTTTGTAAACATTACACAGTGAAATGCTGAGATAAATATTAAAAAAATTGGAGTAAATTTAGGTCTCTTTCTAAATTCTAAAATTGTTTTTTACTCAGAATCATGTTTTGAGTAGGAAAATTTGCATTAAGCTTTCAAATTAAAAATATAATACAATAATTCTGGCTTACACCAAGGTGAACGAAGGGAGACGGGTGTCCAACACTCACATCTCTGTATTCTGGCCATGCCTAATTTTTTATCATTTCATTATTCTATCTTGGATTTTTAGTTGTATTATCCATATGGCACGTCCTGTTTAAACCACAAATATTCACAATACAATTACTATTAGAAAAATATAAATAAATATAACTTCAAACAAATTATATTTATATAGGTACTTAAATAAAAAATAGTATTTAAAAAAACAAAGTTTGTAAATTATTTTAAAAGAATAGGCCATAAATATTAAAATTAAATAATATAACCTAAATATACTTTACATTAAAGTTAAATTTACTTATAATACATTTATACAGTTTTAAATAAGGTTTCAATGAAGAGTAAAAAAATAGATTTAAACCTATTTAGTTATTTAATATTAAAATCTTAAATTTGTGTAAAAATAAACTTAAAGATATATTATTAAAATATTTTAAATGTATATTACATTGATTTATTAATTCATAAAATACTTTAATAATGTATTGATTTTGGTATCAAAAAATGTAAAACTTTATCTACTTAAATTATCTATAATATTATCTTTTTATTAAGCTAGATTAAAGTTGGTAAACTTAAGTAATCATTCAATATTAATATTTTGGTAAACACAAATTTTGATAATTTATTTTGTGGACAGTTATAATAGACCCATTGTCTAAACAGCCCGACATCCATAGCTTTGACTAAAAATTGATAATGTCGTTGACAATGCTACTTTGGTCATCAGATTTGGTTGTTAAGGCAACAACAACTATCATTGTATTTGTTAATATGAATACTTATTTTATATTTATTCTTAATCAGTAAAATTATAAGTTACAATGTTCTTTTTTAATTCAAACAAAATATCTGAACTGAATATTATGGTCCATCACTCAATGATAGTAGTGATACCTACTATAAAATTCATTGTTAATGAGTCATATAACATTGATTTTAAAAAATTAATGGTTATGTGTTGAATAATAAAATAATTTTTCTATAATACATTTTAAATATTAATTTGTGTTTCGTCTTTTAAAAACTGACAGTACACATCAGTCATTTATTGATAGAATATTGGTCAATGTTCAATGTTAAATTTTACGTATGAAATAGGATAATAAATGCATGTTTAAATTATTAAATATGTAATATCTTAAAGATGATTAATCTACAATACATACCGGCAGTTTACTACATTTTGTAAACTAAATTTACAAACAAAATTTGAAGGCTTTGTTGATGTATTACTATTTCTATTTGTTTGTTAATAAATAGTTAATATCTTGTTTCTGCGATAATAATGATATGATAATTAATTGTCATTAGTAATTAAATACACCACGAGATAGCAGTAGATGAAGGTGCCGTGGAATGATGTTATCGTCTTATCACTACAAACACATAGAATAAAAGAAATTTAAGATACAAGCCCTAAAAAGTAGAGTATTTAATATTTATATTAGTAAGTTATTATTTGTAAGTTGACGATATTATTGTTAAACGGCGTGTGTTCAGTTTAGTTTTCTATATGATTTAATATGAGGGATTTTTATCTTCTGACTAATGTAAGTTATTTAATAATTCACATTTTATAATTATTACTTATTTTAATATACTGTTGTAATCCAAATTTAATTTATTATAAACCATCTTTTTTCGAGTTGGTATTATATCATTGTTGTTTTTAAAAATAAAACAGTACTTTTGATTTTAAATTACTAAATCTTTAAAATATGTACTTCTAACTTATATTAAAAAATTATAGGTACATACCTATTGGTGTAATTTATATTTAATGCAACCGTTTTAAAATTATTTTATAATTATGTGTTATTAGGTATCATTGGAACCCTTGAACTTTGTTGATTTGTTTTATGGAAAAAGATGATAGGACCTGAAAAATGGCAAGATGTACAATTACATGTCCGTGTTGTTTGCGTTTCAAGTTCAGCGCAGATGAAATGGAACAACGGTATAGAAGTAAAGAAATTGACAAACTAATAGACAAAGATAAACACTTGTTGCGTCGTCAAGTAAAATTATTATTATTGGGAGCCGGTGAGAGTGGAAAATCAACATTTCTTAAACAAATGCGCATTATACACGGTATTCATTTTGAACCTGAACTTGTCATTGAATATCAGCACATAATTTATCAAAATATATTAAGAGGTAATACGAATAAACAAAATATGTTTAATAAAAAAAGTTTAAATAAAATTATTTTATTAAAAAAAGGTATGAAAGTATTAGCAGACGCTAGGCAAAAGTTAGATATACCATGGGAAAATCCTGATAATAATGAACGTGCTGAATTCATTTTGAATTTTGATAATCGTTCTACGTTAGATACACGATTATTCCTGGCATATGCTCCATCAATGTACTGTTTATGGAAAGACTCTGCTATTAAAAGAGCATTCGAACGAAGGAGAGAGTTTCAACTTAGTGACTCTGTTCAATATTTTCTTGATAACATTGAAAATATAGCTAGAAATGTAAGTTGATTTAAAAAAAATAAAACTTTGTGCATTATATCACATTTCTTAATTTAATAAGAATATTTTATACATAGAAATAATATATATGTTTGTTTAAGGATTATTTACCAACCAATAAAGATATTTTACATGCTAGAAGAGCAACCAAGGGCATTTATGAATTTACAATTCCAATAAACAATATTCCATTTCGATTTGTTGATGTTGGTGGGCAAAGATCCCAGCGGCAGAAATGGTTTCAGTGTTTTGATTCTGTCACATCAATATTATTTTTAGTATCTTCTTCTGAATTTGATCAAGTACTTGTTGAAGACAGGTATGTTATTTAATAACTAAAAACAAGTATTAGATATTTACGCATTTTTAAAAATATTTTTTTTTTCAAAGTACAACTTACTTTTGGCAAATTGTAAGAATATGTCATTTTAAACTTAGTGGATATATTTGACTCATAATAGGGTTATTCGTTAATAGTAATGATACATTTTTTTTTTGTATATCGTTCTTTTATTTCTTTGTATTGGGTTATCTGACCGCTAGGACCATCCTGTCTCATAACCAATTCTTCAGCTGATTTAATTCATTGCCAAAGTCCTTCCAACTTACTCCGCCTCCTAATTCTTTTACATTCCTCTTAACTGTATCTTCCCATCTTAATTTTAATCTTCCCGAGAGCCTTTTTTCTACCAGATTCTGTTCCAACACCATTCTTACTAGAGAGTTCTGGCTCATTGCATGTCCTACCCAACACAGGCTTCCTTTCTTCTTAATCAGCTCTACTATATTATTTTCATTAAACATTTCTTGCAGCTCTCTTTTTCCTTTTTCTCCACTCTCCTGTGGTGTCATCTTTTATTGGTCCAAAGATCTTCCGTAATATTTTTCTTTTTAGTATTAAGAATTTATTTTCATCTAATTTCCTTAATATATTTTTTTGTGTATTACCTGATTACCTGATACAACTATATTCAAAACATGCAATTTGAAGAAATTTTAAATAGTTGAACACATATAGTTCTCTAAATAAATAAATTGTGATATTTTACATACTCATATTTCTCTTAAAAATTAAAACTTAAAAAAAAAAAATAGCGCCAATGTTGTACACAGTGGCATAATTATCCATTTATTATGAAAATCCCTAGGACCACTTAAGAGTACTGCCCCAGAAAAATTTCCTATCAGAAAAGTTGCTACACTTGATAATTGAAGAAAAACTTTTAGTAGAAAAGTTGTTCACAGAAAAAATTATAAATAAACATTGTTGTAAAACCAATATTGAATATTAACCATATTTAAACCTGGAAGGGATTCAGGGTTTTAATTATGATAGATAAATTATTTTGCCCCTCTAGATTTTTATCCAGTTATGCCACTGGTTGCACAGATTAATATTTTCCCTGCTGAACCTAAATTTGCTATTTCATTAGTTTGTAAGGACTAACAAAATTTAGTTTTAGCTTTAAATTTAAATTTAATTAGAATAATTTTTCAAAATATGTTAAATAAAACAAAAAAAACTCATTGTAAATTCAACACACATTGAGTACGTTCAAAATCAAAAAGTAATAATTGATACTATAACTTTCTTTTTTTTTTTTCAATATTTTGCCATAGTCATTAATTTTTAATTTTAAAATATTACTTTTATCAACTAATTTACCTATTTTAAATTAACAATATTTTTTTAATTTGTTAGTCAAGACTATTATATGCAACACTATGAAAAAGGAATATTTAATTATTATGTTATGCTGAATTAAATTATGTATTTGCAATACAGTATATAACAAAAATAAAATGTATAATTAATATATAAATATATTATACTTAACAGTTTACAATTCAATAATTCTACTAATATGTAATTGATGCTAGTACAAATTAGTATAAACTAAAATAAACTAGTATAAATATATAATATTAAGTAGGTGTACTAAATATTGTTTGTTATATTGTATTTATAAACTATTAGTTTTAATACTAATAATTTATTATATTATAAAATAATATGTTGACAATACATATTATAAACTAATCAATTTGATATTAAATTTGGATTTAAACATTATTTATTTTTAGAAAAACAAACAGATTAGAAGAATCAAAGGACATATTTGATTCTATTGTAAATAATGTAATTTTTCGACGAGTTTCCATAATTCTTTTTATGAACAAAACCGACTTATTGGCTGATAAATTAAAAAGAAGAGAAACAAATATTAAGCATTATTTCCCAAATTTCGCAGGTAATATGTTTTAAGTATTTCAAACAACAAAAAGTTTAAAGTGTATGATATTTATGCCAACTTAATTATTAATGTTAATTTATAATTTCAAGCTTACCTAATATTATTTGTTGTAAACTTAGTGAGTTTCATTTAATTATATACATTTCTGAAATATACTTATGTATAAAACAGTATATTTTATTTACATGTTACAGGTGATCCTCATAGTTTACCTGATGTACAAGCATTTTTATTGGATTTCTTTCGTCAAGCAAAACGGGATCCCAGAAAATCTTTGTTTCATCATTTTACTACTGCCGTGGACACAGAAAACATTAAAGTTGTATTTAATGCTGTAAAAGACACACTTTTACATAGAAATTTAGAATCTTTAATGCTTCAGTAACTTTTAAATTTTTATACAGATAATTGTTAAATGTTCATATAATTATGTTTGTTGTGAACAAAACTATGTTTTTTCTTTTGGTAATGTATTTTTGAAAGACATCTTTCAATGCATCTCATAAATTTACAGTAATCTTCCTCGACCAAGATTCATCATACTATTTTCTTATCCTACATCTTAAATCAAATTTAGGAGTTAGTAACTAACTATTTAATTTAAGATATGCTAGATATCCAAAAAATAAAATAAAAACCAATTAATTATGCCATTATCATTGTAAGATAAAAATATTATATCTACATTTTTTTATTCTCAATTTGTACCCACATTTATTCTTAAATAAAGATATCGTTAATGAAATATATAATCTTTATTATTGTTTACATATTAAATAAATCATTTAAATATGCATTTGTTTCCAAACTATATATAATATTACTGCTTATTTTTAAGCAAACATTTTTTAATTTATATTTATATTTTTGTACAAAATTATTGATATATATATATATATACAACTTTTTTTTTTGTTTTATTAGATTACATACTATTTTCATATGTAATATTAATTAGTTACTTAGAATTTATAATTAAATGTAAACAGACAATGAAATTTTGGCCTATGTACAATTTTATATAGATATGAATTTATTTAGTATAACTTTATTTCTGCTAAATTTTAATTTGTACCTATTGAAAAAAATCTAAAAAATATATTGATTGATGTTTAAAATGTTTTAATTCAATTTTTTAACAAGACTTATGATTTTTTTTTCTACAATTTGTTTTCTTTTTTTAATATATTATTTTACTGTTTAAGAAAGATCAATAATGTTTAAGATTTTTAAAACAAAATATATTATGATATTGTTATTAAAATAGTATTTTTATTTGAATGTGTAAGTGCAATGATAAATTAAAATAACAAATAATAATTTCGGAAAATACTGGTAACAGTTATAAAAATTACAATTCACATTTTACTATGCTATTTTCACAATTTTAGCATGTCTAATTCAATATCGGTGAATAGTATAGCTCATAAATTTTGGTAATGTATCACACGTTTTGCATTTTAAAAAGTCAATAAAACCAACAAAAAAAAAAAAAAAAAATAGGAATTCTTATTAATTTAATAATAATTAAACAATAATTATCTTCTATCACATTTCTGTATACATAATGGATCATCTGGAATGTCTTCTGACGCAATCCAATTATTATGTTCACCAGTTACAACAACAAATAGCTGATTGTCATTTATATGAAGTTGATTTCTAAAATAATTGTACAAGTCATCTTCCTGTAATAAAAATATTATACTTATATTGAAACAATAAGGAATTATAATACACAGTCAAAACAAGTAACATACGTTTCCAATCCGAGAAGGATTAGGTAATTTTGAATCTAGATTGTAATAGACTCCATTTATATTTTTGATAGATATCCAATGTCTTCGTTTCAGTGGCAACCATAAAAACCCTAAACGACATTCACTTAGTATGTTCATTACAAAACCATATATTTGATCCAACTTCAACATTTTCGGATCCCTATTATTAATACATTTAATATTGTAATACATTTCAAAAATTTAAATAAAATGAACATTATTCACTATTTAATATGGATAATATATTTAAATTTTAATATAGGTACTTTTGGGTTGTGGATGTAGGTAAGTAACAGAAGGTCAAAGTGTATCATGAATAAGTACTTAATTTCTGTAAACAGGATTTAAATAATACTTAAATATAATTTTAAATACTTCTTTTAATTTTTTATCTGTACAAATATTTTAAACACTATTTTGAAACCGATTCTTTATAAAAATAATATACTTTTATGGGTAACAGAAAAAAAAGAAAATAATAATTTTCATATTTTTCATGGTTTAATGTTAATATGTTTAAATCTGTAAATGAAAAATTAATACAAAAAAGTATAAGTGTTCTAACAAAAGAAAAATCTAAAAAAATATTCATTTTTGTTTGCTAAAATAATTTCTATAGTGTAAAACAAAAATTTTAATTCAAATTGAAACAAAATATGAGATACAATACACTGCATACAATGAAGTGCATTTCTAACTTAGATTTAGAAAAGTACCAATATAATATTTAATAAAATGTATACAAATCACCTCAAGAGGCACATGGTGCTATGAGCCTAGTGAACCTGGGGCCTGAGCTCCTATTAGTGAAAAGCCCAGGTGGGTGAATCCAGTAGATACATGGTATTGTTTCTGTAGGGTAAAAATACCTCCACCCTAAATACCCTGTCGGGTCAACAGCCGGTATAAAACAGTCAAACAGTATGGGGAATTCTAAACAAAACTTTCGCGGATTGTCCTATCTCGGATATACGCAGGGTGACAACAGGTAAGAATAATTACTGTGGTACATGTTTACAGATAATATAGATTTAAATAGGAGAAAATCTATGGCAAGTTAACAATAGATTTGAGGAATTGAGTAGCACTTGAAAGAAAGAATAAGAATAAGTAAAACAGAGAATACAGAGTTATGAGATTGGAGGACAGCTAATAACCATTCCCAGTGACATAATAAGAATAGGCAAAGTTGAAAGTATCTACTTAGGACTTTTATACATAGGAACAGTAACTTTGCCAAGAAAGTAAAACATAGGATTAAATGTAGTTGGATAAAGTAGAGAGAAGCATCTGTGTTTTAAATGACAAAAAAATTCAGATGAGACTTAAATATAAATTCTACATAAGTGAAATGGAACCAACTATGTTGTATGATATAGAATATTGGATAGTAGACAGAAAAATAGAACAGAGAATGAGTGCAGCAGAGATTAAAATACCTACTTAGATGGATGAGTGTAATAATGAGAAGAGATAGGATAAGAGATGAATACATAAAAGGTAGCTTAGATAGTCAATAATAGGAGATAGAATTAGAGAAAATGAGAATTAGATGGTTTGTGTATGTTACTAAGAGGTATTTGAAGCAGTAAGAACTGTAATGAAAATAAACTTAGGAAGTGAAGAGGAAAACCAAAAGAGATGGTTGAATACAATTGAGTTACATGAGGATGGCCAGTGTATGCAAGGTGGGAGATCTAGTCAATTAGAAGTTTAGAAAGAGGGTGGTTGACCTTAAATAATTGAGATGAATATGAAGGAGAAGAAGAAGAATAAGCTATACAAATTATGAAATCTAGTACCTACTATATACTTTATTGGTTTTCTAAAATATTAAAAGCATATAAAATATAAATTCATATTAATATTATTATATACCTGTATAATATATAAGGTTTGGAGCAGAACAATAGTTATAAACAGTTTTGCTTTTCTATATTATTATTGTCTTTTTTTTCATCATAAATTTTTCCTGATTTTTTAAAATTAATTTTTTCTGATTCACTTTTGAGTACACAGGTTTACAGTATGTTTCAAAAATATTTTAGATTACTATAATAACAAAGTACTTTTTAGATTGTGTTTTAATTTTTTCCCTAAATTTAAAATATTGTATTACAATTATTATCATAGTCAATAATCCATTAATATTATATGATGTTGATAGATATATGGGTATAGGTATATACCTACTTAATAGTTTACTAACATAACTAAATATTATGTAAAACATACATTTATTGTTAAGTAGAATTATTCTATTTTTTTAACAATGGTCATCATGAAGCCATACGTTATTGGTTAATGTGAATAGTGACTTAGCTGACCACTAACTGATGCATACGATTAAAGTTTTAATGTTTTTTCCAAGTTGCAAATTTATATGAATAAAATTACGGTTAAAAGGTATTATATAAATATATTTGTGTACACATTCTAAAAATGTGTTAAACAAAATAACAATTTTTCTTTTTTATAAACAAAAAAACTGACATATTATGCAATTAAGGTTATTACAAACTATATTACTCTAAATAGGAAACAGTGTTTTACATTGGAAAATGTATGAAATGGACAAAAATAGTTCTACATATAAATAGACTATAATAAATTATTAATATAACATATTTATTGTCAATACTAACTTTCTCTTATCAAACCAAAAAGCATTATAGCCTTTATTTTGTAATGCAGCAATCAACACATTGACATCGTAGTTACCAAGACCTAAAATTGACCGATGTGGGTTTATGTAATTATTGGGAGATAATGAATAACAAATAGCATCAAGTTCCATTTGCTTGAAGGCTTCTTTTGATTGAAACAAATTGTTGAGTGCGTGTAATGCACATAGCTCTTTTGACTAAAATAAACAATACAAATGCAAAGTAATATAATTACTTAAATTCCTTAAAATACCTATTTAGTTATAATTACTTGTTTTTCATGATATATTGAAGTAACTGCTGGTAACATAATTCATTTGAAAATCAGCTATTTTCAATAGATTTTCATAATACGGTTTTTGTTTTATAAAAATAAATCAAAACTACGTAAAATATGATGATACAGCTTCAAACATAATTTAAAATCTACGTGTTGTTTAATAATAATAATAATGATAATAATAATAATAATAATAATATTAGTGAACAAAGTTAATCGTAGCCAACAGTAGGAGTATTAGTTATATAGTAGAAGCAGTGCATGGCATTTGGTCGAAAAATTAATAATGATAAGAACTGTTGGTTTTCGGAAACGCTACCCGGTCACATATTAACATACTGCACACGAAATAAAATCCTACTGACGTGGTTTTTTCACAAGAAATCAGGGTATGTTTTTAGATTAATTTTTTCCATTCCGCTTTGTCTGAACCCAGACATAACAATTTTACACTTTCTTATTATTATTAAATAAAACGTTTTTATTAACTCATAATCTTGTCAGTTAGGTTCAAATTTTGAAATAGATTTTAAACAAAACTTCCTGATGAAATAGAGACTTGAAACTTTAAAGATAACTCAGAACTGGATTACGCTGCAATAATATGCAAACATATACGTATATTATGATTCATGACAAAGAAAGGTCTGACTATTTATAGACATAATAATATTGACAGCAATCATAGATTTATAATAATGTAGGAATGAATGACTATACCAATTTGTATAAGTAATATCAATGATATATTAAAATATTACCTGCTACCTCATAGGTTCTAACTGGTGATCCATGGACCCCTTGTCCGTAGATGGTTAATTGGGGTTCACAGAGTTTTTTTTTTATATAACTTTTAGAAATAATTCAAATTTGTAAATTTCATCAGAGCTAGAGTCTCACATCAGTCACATTGTGACATCACCGATTTTTCAAAGTTTTATGTCAAAAAATGGAAACTGAACATAAAGTTCTGTTCTACTACACAGAAGTACGTTGGCTTTCAAGAGGAAAAGTTCTGAAACGTTTGTATGAAGTTCGAGAAGAAATGTCTTACTTTTTAATAGAAAAGTAAAGCTCACTCTCAAAATATTTTGATAATATTGAATTTATTCATGGATTGGCATAATTTTTAATAGATATTTTTAGTCAATTGAAAGAAATAAATAATTCAAGGACTAGAAGTGACAATTATGGACTCGTCTGAAAACATAAATGCATTTGTAAGTAAAAATTCTCGGTGGAAAAGAAAATTTAAATCAGAAAATTTACCAAACTTTCCATTACTTGAACACGAACTTTCAAAAAAACAATATTTCTTGGTTTGTGAACAAATTTGTGAACATCTTGATGTACTTGAAAATTCATTGGCTATTATTTCGATTCTACTTATTCGAAAGCAGAAATATGGTTATGTAATTCTTTTCTTGTCAAACAAAAAGGTAATGACTACTTTAAAAAAGCAAAAACCAACATGATAGCTATAATTTTTATTTGATAACATTTTATAAAAACAACGCCGTATTATACTACTGATCTCAAAAATATTCTCCTCTTTAAACTATTGTATTATTTGTTTATACAAAACGTGCCTGTAAAACATGTAAAAATCGGAGCAAGTTTACTAGGAAAAAATGTGTCCACAGACTAAGAACAACAAAGAACAAAGAAGAAAAAAAATAAACAGCATTATAAAATTAATAGCTCCTTCAATACGCCCGGAATCTAAAATATACATGATAATAAAATGTATTGTAATGATAAAATGATTTTACAACATTATTCAATTTTTCATTAATCATCTCTTTACCAACAACTGAAAAATTGCAAATTGCCGACAATTTTTTATTTCCGTAGGGAGCTTTCCATGTACTCTTTATCCAGTTATTAAATAGCTATTATAAAACGTTGCGGTGTTTATTTTGGGGAAAACCAGGTTTTCGGATATAGTGTTATAATAGTGGATCACTGTCTGAGGTAAATTATATTGTGATAAGCAGTATAAAGTTTTTTTATAAAATAATTTTTTTATGGATAATTTTTTCGTTTCTAAGTGTAACTGTTAACTAGGATAAAGGCTAGGTTTACGATGCATAATTTTTAACGATATTTTGTGCTACTTGAATGCCGGGAATATATTTATGTGCAGCTCCTCCCCATACATCTATACCATATTCTATTATTGATTGCGATAAGGCAAAATATCTATTTTTAATCAGTGTAGATTTAAAAATTGTTTTGCCATATTATAGAAAGCGTATAATCTACGATTTTATGGTGGTTAATAAATTTGGAAAAAATAAAGTCAATGCTATTTCGAACAAACTTCGTTTGAAAATTATAAGGGAAAACTTCATAAAGTTCGGGTTTTTAGTTTCGTGAAATTCTTAGTTAAATTTTTTTTTTCTAAATGTGTGTTTTCATATGCTTAATCCATTTGTAAAATTAAAACCTAACCATTATACTTACTTTTATAGTTTTTGTACATAAACTTTGAAAAATAGCATTTTTGAAATCAATCCAAAATGTGATCAAAAATAGACATTTTTTTTATTATTATTTGTAGTGTTTGATAATTTGATAACAAGGTTTTTTAGCCATTCATATCCGCGACCGAGGTAATACACGTGAGGTACAAATCATTTGTCACTGTCGGTAATTTTGCCGACAGGCGATTCTAACCGCGTATGTAATAATATGGTGGGTATTAATTCTATGACACCTGCAGGTCCTTATAAGTATTTATTAGATTTAGATAATCATGAAATATGTTCAAAAACATATTTCCTTTTCATATAATGTTGTAATTGTACTTTTTTAGGTATATTAAACTATTGTATTAATAGTTTTAAGTAAAGTATTTTACTTTTGTGATATACGAAATTTGTGTATAAATATAAAATAAATATGGCAAATATATACAAATAAAATATATACAAATGGAAGCCGATAATGATTATTAGAAATATAAGATAGATACTCTAAAAATAATAAGGTACCTAACTAAATAATAGTGAAAACAGGAATGACTTAAAAAAAGTGTGAAGACGTTAGACGATTTTTATAGACAAGTCGATTCCATTTGAGCGATAGGAACTCACATAATGTACAATATTCCACCCTACATTTAAGGTGTCGTTAATGTAATTTTAAATAGATAAAGAAGTTATGACAAATAAATTTCGAATTTTAAAAATTACCATCATAAATATTCTGACATTTTGTGAGCATAGCCAAAGACCTGGTATCGTGTAGCAAAGTTTGGTTTTACACTAGAGTTTTAAGTTCCTTACACCAGTATCATGTTTGGACCCGTAGGTCGTAGGTCAATATTACACGTCCGAGCGAAGAGTGGTAAGTGGTCAACACACCAATACTAGCATATATCTCCGCAAACTTTAAGGGACTTTATGGAAGTAACTCGAAATTTAGTGTAGGTACTATTGGTATTTATAATTATACAGGTAACCTAACTTTGCAGTTTGCAGTTATCGTCCGAGACGTTAAATAACATACAACGCGAGTTCAGCACGATAGAAAATGAAAAAAAAAATTTGTTAATAAATGTTAACAATGTTCTCTAGAACGTCGAAATGATTTCCGGCGGTAAGGGGTTAAAGATTAGTGATTTATGGACCAAAATGGGATGTTCCCGGGAAGGTCAAAATTGTTCGTGACTGCCAACACCATCACTAACTATACAGACATGTAAACTACATATGAGTGGAGTCGTGGATAATACAGTTAGGATATATGTATATAAAAAAACAAATTACAAAATAAAATATAAAATGAAGATATCGCAGTTTCCATGACAAAACCATGTAAGTCGATTTTTAAGTATCTTCAAAATATAGGATGTACATTTAAAAATAATAATAATATACAAAATAATAAAATTAAGTCAATGACTTTGATTCTAAATGTGATCATGTCATTACATTCTGTTTTAAAGTTAGTAACTTTCAAGTGGTATATCTTTTTCTTTTTGTTGTTTTTTCGAACTTCCAAAACACCCAGTTGAGAAACACGTGTCTCCTTTTCCAAAATCTTCACCATCTTGCATGGTTTGAGGCATTTTAGTATTGAGTGTCTCCGGTAACAGAGTGCACAGAATGCCAGCAAAAAGTGTAACTAGAGCGAACGTGATTATGGGGGTTCTTTCATCGAAAGAGTCCTATAAATCACATACAAATAGAATAGATTAACAAAATATGAATGAGTGTACCCTTTAATATTCAATATTGTTATATTTATTTAACTTATTTTATTTATATTTATTAAATGTATATCTTATAAATCATATGTTATAATATGAGTAATAATTGTATACATATAAATGTGTACTTTTTGTCACAAAATTCAGCTATGGGGTTATCTCAAGGATGGAAAACGCTTTTAATTTGTTGGTTTTGATTTTTCATAAAAGTCTTTACCTCACTACATATATTCCTTAAATTCTACCACCATTCATTAATGTCCTGATATTCTTATATATTCACTTCATTTGTACATTAGATATATTATTTCCTTGTTTTTCATCTTTTTGATTTTTAATTTTTCATTGTACCATTTTTCCTTTCATCACTATTATCTTGAATTTATGGTTGCATTTCATCATAACTACGTTATGGTCACTATATATATCTGTTCCTGGGTATCTCCTGTTATCTTAACTTGATTTCTGAATATCTTCTTAACCATGATGTAGTAAATTTGGTACATAAATATGTCTCCTGGTACTTGACATATTTATATATGGTTAAGAGCAGATTCAGAAATCAAGTTAAGATAACAGGATAACAATAATTCACTTTTTCTTCTCCCACTACGGTATTCCAGTCACCTTTTATTATTATATATATATTAGTATCTTAAAATTTAATATTTTCAAATAATTTATCTATATTTTCATACACTTCCTTTACCTCCTCATCACTACTATTTGTTGTCGGAAATACATCTGCATTACTATTGTATCTCTCGGTTTCGTCTGAAATTTGAATATGATGATTCTGTCATCATATTTAATATAGTGTTTAACTTTCTTTACCAGGACTATTATGATTCCTACTCCTCCTGTGCCCAGCTTTTTTTCTGACGTACTTGTATGTATTACCCTATAATCTTCACTTCAGAAGATTCCCGACTTCCATCATCTCATTCCCGCTTTCCAAGAATATCGATTTTTATTTTTATATCACATAAATTAAGGGTAACTAAAACTATAGCGCTATGCATCGCCGAAACTATAGATAATAACTACAGCTTTATTAATTATCAACAACTAGTTATCAGGGTTACACATTTTTTGATAACAGAATTATTATAGCTATAAAGTAATACAATTAGTTTATTATTTTATTATTTTATTATCTATAATATAGTATGACTTTTCATTTTCTTTATTGAATTTTTTTCGTTTAATAACGTTTTCTATCTTTGTATTATCCTGAATATTAGTAGATGTTTAAACATTTTGAGATATAAAGAATTTATTGGGCCTGGTTTATTTTTTGGAAAATTTTGTTTAAGGACTAAAACAAAATATCTAAATTACGCGTCTTCGTATATCATCGGAAACTTTTAGATTGCAGCAATATTTGAGGTATCTATGGAAATAATATTTTTATAAACACGTAGTTTTAAAATTATCCATGTTAATGAACTTCATTATTTTATTTTTAGTAATATATTTTTATTTAATTTTTGAAAATGAATGACATGCATTTATATAAATCAATAAAAATGTGTGTTTTCTTTAAGCAACTCATTACAATTCACCCCTGTATGGCTTGATTTCTACTTACTTATTTTTATTGATTCAAATTGCAAATAATAGTACCTATACAAAATATATTATATATACTTAATACTTAATAGTAATATTATATAGGTAATATTTTATAGATCTATTTTAGTTTACTGTTCATAGGTTTTAAGTATATATTAAAATATTTAATTTTACTTACCATTAGACCAACAAAAGGAGTAAAACTACCGGCCAAGCGCGCGAACATACTTCCAAGTCCAATAGCAGTATTTCGGACTACAGTAGGGAAGCGTTCGACGGTATAATTGTATATGATAGCAAAAGCTCCAGCTATACAAAATTTTCCGAGAAAGACGACAGTGGTAGATATTGTCTGTGCCAGTGAATCTGAAGTTATTTCACAGGTAATATATGAATATATTACAAAACGTGCAAAGAAATTAATATTAGTTCATTTAACATACCCGGTGGAAGAAATGCAGAAATGAGCAAAGCAGTCCCTCCAATAATCATCATAGAGCTATTCAGAAACCGTCTTCCTAAACGATCCATTGATAATGTTACAAACACGTAACTCGGGAGTTCAATAGCGGCCATTAAAAATAACATAAAATAAGGGTTCCCTTTTAGTTTTGAAGTTCGGAGGGAAATACCATAATATCCAAAACTAGCAGCAAACCTATAATATATATTAATTTATTATATTTTAATGGGATCACTATTCTAATTTCTCATACAAATTTATTAATTGTTAATTTATGGTATTTGTTATGTTTACCAGAAATAACAAATAAGAATTGTGTTTTTCCTCAGACTTGGCGTTTTGAAAAGATCTAATATCGAAAACGATTGATTTGTATGACTTTCTTTTTCATTGTCGTTATCATTATCTAACGACAATGATACCCTTTGTTCTTTTTCTAATGCTAATGACACCGCGGGCTTGTTATTGGTTTTTAGTGCTTTTTGTATAATTATAATTGCTTCGTCTTTTCTTCCTTGTCCCCACAGCCATCTAGGAGATTCGTCGATTAACCTATTCCATATTTAAGTGGGTATTTATAGAAAATGTATATATTAATATTTATATAATACTTAAATATATTCAAATAAACTTTTTACCAGAAATGAGGAATTAAAATTAAACTATGTAAGGCGTAAATAATTTGAAGTACAAAGGTGTTTCTGATAAAATAACCCCACACCGATACGGCCATAATACCAGAAGCGAATATGGTTTGAAATAAAATTCCGCATACGGAACGTTTGGTGGGTCCAACTAATTCCATAGCTATAATTAAAACAGAATCAATAAAATTAGATTTTTAAATCAATAGATAATCTAAAAAAAATAAAAATGTTTTGAATATACACGTACTTAAAACGAATCCCGAAATGTAAGACCCGGACGAACCAAAAATTCCATACACATATGTTGTAGCTATAAATACCCAATAGTTGTTAAGAAACGCAACTCCGACACTAAGAATTAGTTGTGCTACAGCTGAAATGCAGAAAATCTTCTTACGACCAAATCTGTTTAAATAGGGGTACACAAAACAATCAATAAGTAACACCAATACAAATTTATACTATAAACGAAATAATTAATACAATTATAATAAAAAAGGAATTAAAAACAAAAATGATTTTAAAAATTGCAATACAAATTTTAAATATTCACGAGTATCTATATAAATTCTATACGGATACCCATATTTAAGTTTAATTGCGTATTGCATTGGGTATTAAATAAATTCATGAGTATAACAACCGAGATCGACAGTTATCTGCGGGTTAAGGGCTGTAAAAAAATTATATTAAAATAAAACTGTAACAATCTGAAAGAACCTAAAATCTAGGTAACTCAAATTATTATTATTCAAATTATTACTGAAATATGCCAAGGAGGGATACTTCCTTGGCATATTTTAGTTACGATCGTTTAATGACAGCTATAGTTTATAGGTTATAAAATAATATACTATTTATACTCGTGGTGCATTACAATTTTTAGACAGCCCCCTTGATTGAGCTATAGCTACTATCTACGTGTAGGTATGAGGTCATTACTATAATATAATATTCAATGAAAATAATATTGTTTTGTTACAGGTAACATTCATTGGTTACTATATGGGTGACAATTGCACAGGTTTAAGTGTAGTAGTCTGTCGAATATATTTTCTATAATTATTTAACTTTTAAACATTATAATTATTATAATATATGTATAAATATATATCAGTTTGAAATTCACTCAGATATTTCCTATTGAAAAAATTGTGCCTTAGCTATCGTTAATTATTTAAAAAAATAAAAATGAATACAAGTTTAGATAGAACCTATGAGATGGCATCGATCATTTTAACATGCTTGTATTTCAACGAAGAATAATATTACTATTATATTATTTCTCAATGATGTGACCATAGTATAATATAATAGTAGTTTTAAAATATAACATCTAAATAGTAATTTAACTAATATTAAGTTATAAAATTAAAAAGAGCTGATACTGGACGGGAGCAGCCAATGTTGTAGGTGGGAAGTTGGGAAGGTAGAATACATAATATTATTTCATTTATAACTGTAAGCAACGATAAACTATTGCTAACGAAAGACGATTTAGAGCGCAGTTCGATAATACATAATTTGAAGTGCCGTAATTTTTTTGGCGAATTTCGTTTAAATTTGATTTCAAAACGCGTATTAAAAAAAAATTCAACAAAAAGGTCTCTTGTCGTTTTTCAATTGGAGCTAAATTTGTGCTATAAAACGTGGTAGATACTTATTTAAAATAATGAAATCATGAAAAAATCGTATTTTTTTCCCCGGTTAGTTGTTTTTATTTTAAATGTTGTTTCGAAAATCAAAAAATGACTTACATATTTACCAAGTAGATAAAATTTAATTTCAGAAAAGGTGCTACACTTATACATCGAAGCAAGTTTTCTAGGATAAAAGTGATATAAAGAAAAGAAAAAAAGTATTATTGTAAAAAAAATTAAAAAAAGGAAAAAAGTCGTCCGATGATCTTAGAAATTTTACCATATTTAGGTAAGTCCAATATCAGTATTATTACCAAGTTTCAAGTCTCTAAATGTATTTATAATCCAATTACAGAAAAAAAAATTTCCAAAAATTAAAATTCCTTAAAAGCTCAAAAATGGCTCAAAAGTTTTGGCCATAATACCGTAAGAGAGTAAATCAAAAAGGCAACAAAAAAGGTGTCGTATGATTTTTCGATTAAATTATTTTTTCTGGTAGAAAACATTGTCCGTGTTTTTATAATTTTATGAAATCGTGAAATTGTACGTTTTTCTACGGTTTTTTCCACATGCTTTTTTTTAAAAAAATGACGCCGAAAATCAATAAATGATCTCTCTAAAATACAATCTAGACAACTTGAACTTTCAGAAAAAATACTACACTTATACATAAGAGTAAGTTTACTAGGAAAAAACGTGTCCACAGATTAGAACAAAGAACAAAAAAAAAAAAAAAATAAACAGCATTCCAAAACCAAAAGCTCCCTCGCTACGCTCGGAATCAAAAAGTGTTGATGTTTGATGAATGAATATAATAATTGCTACGTTATAACGTCATTGATAATCTATTTTCCGGGACAGTATATATATAATAATATTATTACATGTGTATTTTGAGATCGAAACAATTCAATTTTGTTTTAACCTCTTAAAAGTTTAAGAAAAAATAAATAAGTCAGAATCAAATGTACTATCATTTTAATATACAATATTTGCTATTTTGTGTCTTTTGTTATGGAATTTACGTTATCGAAGTACTACATAGCTTACTCTATAATTCCGTTGTCCCGAAAAATAACTTTAAACAATGAATCACGATTAGGTATAAATCATAGACCTTATGATTAATAGACGAGCTTTCCGTATATTGCATGAATTACGAGCTGCGATCAAACATAAGACGTGACGTTAGTTGCATCACTCCGTAAAATTACATTGCGCAAAATAATATTATATTGGAATCGGTAAATAATCACATTGCATATTATCAAGAATTTAATGACATCTGTAATATAATTTTTATTTTTTTTATGTATAATAAAATCAATGATATTATGTATATTAACATATATATACTTTTATAAGTGTAAATTCAAATATGTTGATTAGTTCCGATTATTAGACCAAATCACACAAATTATAATCCATTTTTATTGTTAATAGTTAAAAAAAAAAAACAAATTAATAACGAATAAGGACATTAACTTATGACTTAAAAGCTGTATAATAATTTATTATACATTATAATTTATGAAATAACGTGATAAGAATACAGTTGTTTTACTACCTGTCGTATATTAGTCACTCAGTCAAAAAAAAGTACCTACCTTTTATATTTGACTGCGACATACATGCACAAAGCTCGACTATACGTCTATTAGTATAAGGTCTATGTGTATAATATTATAATTCCTATCGTATATTATGTAATATAGTATAGTCAACTACGCAACAACTCTAATTTTTTGAGGGTACCTATTATTTTTATTCGAAAAATAATATTTTAAACCATAGAAAAATTTATGTTCATAATTTATTATTATTTTTGAACAAGGGACTATAGGTGCAAAAGCAATTATTATTAAAATTGCACAGTAGTTAATATTTATAAATATTGTACAGACATTTTTTTTTAAAACATTTTAAGGGTTTTTAAATAAATGATTGAAATGTTTCGAATATTATTTATATAAAGAATGTAATAATCTGCCACATATCGAATAGGTGCCTATTTTACTAATTTGAAGTCTCTATAAGAATGATATTTTCATAATTTCAATAAAATAAATAAGTAGGTATAGAGTAACAAATTTATATGGTTTAAGGGTAAATTTTACAGGTGACAAATTTTTTTTTTTCATAATATGTGACAAAAATTGTTCGTTGATTAAATCCGCAGATTTTTTAATGGTTTTACCTAATTCTTTCGAAAATTAGCAAAAACTGCAGGGGATTTCCAAATATCTTTACGATAAATGTATAATAGATTTAAAGTATATAATAACTAAGTAAAATAAAATAATTGAAAATATTTAGTCATAGTTTTTTTTTGCCTGTTTATATTATCAACTGTAGAAATTATATTAACGAAGCAAAAATGCAATATATCATAAAATACAAAGATTATTTTATAAAGTATGATAATGAATAATGAAATTTATTATAGGTAGGTTTCAACCTATACTTTAATTTTCTCGTTATATTAGAGGTCTAAAGCTGATATTTAATTAATACTTATTCAAACGTTAATTATACTTGCATATTATAATTTAATAAAATATACCTAGTTAATTTTTAGGTTAATATATTTAGCTACTAATAAAATAACTTTGAATAAGAATAACAAGTTTAAATCAAGTATTTTAACGTTATGATTTTAATATTAATTTAACTTTCAAAATTATACAAACATTATATTTTCGTTTGCAATGAATGCATTTACTCATTATTTATTAAACACATGTGGGAATAAAATCGTAATAATAATTTTAATCATTAATTGTGTATAAGTAAATTATAATAAGGCTCGTAATTTAAACTGTTTTAAAGGAAAATATAATCGGATATATTTGTTTCTCAACAATCACCTACATAAATAATGTAATTCGTTCATTAATAAGTTAATGTACATATAATACCTATACCTCCCGTATTAAATAAAGATTTAATTTATAAGATTATAACTTTAAATTTTCTATTTTTATCTTTAGTTTAACGAAATATTTTATATAGTAAAGGTTATCGATTATTTAATGTTTAACAATGTGTGTATTACACGTATTAAATCAACTATTTAATTCATTGACGTTATTTTATATTATTATATCTGCAGTAGCATCGTACTTATCAGCTAGACTTCCAAGCACAACTGCACCGGTAAATACTCCAAACATGTAGCTCGATTGTGCTACACATCCCATCCATCGGTTATCGCAAATCATGTTCCACTGTAAATGCAAAAAATATTTAAGTTAAAACATTCTCACGTTGTAGTATATAATAACTATATTCAAATAAAAAAAATAAATTAAACATAAAAACTGTATAAGAAAAGTTATAATAATAATCATTGTTCGGGACTTTTAGTATTAATATATTTTTTTGGCTTGAAATTAAATCTAGCAGGGTGATATAGACATTTATGTTATTGTATGAGCTCAAATATAAAATTTGAATTTTTTGTTGCATATTTTCTATTTTGTATTATACGTAAGCAATTTTTGCAACCTCTATGATTTTTAATTAATTTTGCCTTTATTCATCATGTAATTTAGCGTAGCCAGGAATGTACAGTGAAACCTCCCTTAACGGACACCTCTATATAGCGGACGTTTTTTCGGGGACGGGAACATTTTCACTATTTATGTATAGGAAAACCTCTAAATACAGGACACTCTAAATAACGGACACTTTTATGACGTTGATATTAGTTATTTTTATCTTAAATTAAGAATTATTTTGGAATACCTGAATAAAAACCTGAATTATTAAGTTATCTTATGTGTACATTATTATACTGTATATGAAAATCTTATCTTATCCGTTCAGTCATTGAAATATTATCGCGTCAACGAAGTATTATAACTAATGCATTGTCCTATGTGCGTTTAGTTGTGTTTGTGATGCCAACGTTTATTGTATATTATGCCAACGCAATTTACTGGGTGTCTTCATCTTCAAAAAACATTCAACCCGAAACAGTGAAGAAATGCTTTTTGCGGTCCGGCTTTAGGCACCGTAATAACAATGTTACAGANCGGAAACTGACTACATAACACTAGACGATTGCGTGGAGACTTACGACGCCGATATCGAAAATTCATCTGATACTACGAGCATGTCTACAAAAAATGAAGAAGAAAGTGATGAAGAAAATGATGGGTCCGAAGATCAAGAAATTCCAAAAATAAGAAGTCTACGAGAGGCATTGCTAGCAGTAAAAGACATACGTAAATATATTTCTTCTATCGAGGTACAGAATAGTTCATTGTTCTCAAACACAGTCCAATTAGAAAATGCCTTAACATAAGAAATAACTACGCCTGCAATTAGTGAACAAACTAAAGTAACAGATTTTTTTCAGAAATGATGTATGTACATGATGTATTTTTAAGATGTATGTATTTAATTAATGTAAAAATAAAAGAAAAATTTAGGTAACTGTTTTTTTTTCATAAATGTTAGTTTTATCGTGTATTCAATTAATGTAAAAATAATATAAAATAAAATTATTGAATTTATTTATTTGTTAAAAAACAAGTTTTCCTCTAAATAGCGGACAAAATTTCGGCGACCGAGAGTGTCCGCTATTCAGAGGTTTCACTGTATATTAGTTTTACTATGATGTATTCTTTTTTTTTCTGTCTGTAAGCAATTTTTTACTAGAAGTTTTGGTCCAATAAAAAAATGAAATATTACTTTTTTTGTTGTACTTTGGACCTAGTTGGTGCATTGATTTTTCAATCAGTTTTCATAATAATTGAGGAAATTAACGGAAATAAACGTATAGGAAAAACAAACAAATTTACGGCATTGCCGATTTCATTATTTTAAATTTTTTCCAATTTTTTTTTACCAGTAATATTGTTCTAAATTTAAAGATTAGCATCTATTCTAAAAGAAATTGTATCTAGCTGTTAAATAAGAAAGTCTGTATTTTTCCGTGGCCCCTAAATTGGAATTTTGGTATTCTACCCAGGGGGATCATTTGTGCATCGTTTGGGCACGAATGTGCACGATATCCGGTCGTTTGTGCACAATTAATTTTGGAATTATTTAAGAAGCAAATTGGGGGGGACACACAGAAACCACCATTAGAAAGACTAATTTTATGCATCAATTATTACAATAATATTTAAAAAAAAAGCGTTCGATAAAACACACTGAATACTGAATTATATTGGTATTTTTTGGGTATAATATATTACATTACTCTTAGTACTATTTGCTACAGTTATATTTTCTCAATATGTGTGGAATAACCGATAGTTTCGGATATCGTGTTTTTCTAGAAAAAATGATGCACAAACGATCGCCCTGAATAGAATAATTACAAATTGAGGGGGAGGCACGGAAATGGACCCATAGTTCTCTTAACAATCAAGCCAAAAATAGAAAAAACATTATAAAAACGGATAGTTAATAACGGTTTCAATATTTTCAATTTTACTATTCGTTGTAATTCTGTTAAAAATAATTGTAGAACCTTGCTATTTTTACAAAATACTGTATAATATTGATTTTTCTAGACGTGGTAAAATGTTCAAAACGTTCTGGACATTTTTGGGTTATTTAATAATAGGCATGTGAGATATTTTGAGATTTTTTAGTTTTTATTTGGTAGGTATTAGGTATATGGATAAAATTATTTGATTTAACTGAAATGATAGAAAATATATTACAGTGTTCATTATAAGTTGTATTTAGTGATTCAAAAAAAAAAAACTAAGTGTAATTTAGTAGTTTTATTCATATGTATTTTGTATTAAATTTTGGCCAAAATTATAAAAATTATGGTTTTCAAAACATGTATAACCAAACTTCGCTCAGATACTCACGATCGTTTTTCATTTGTAATGGTTTATTATTGTTTACAGATATAAATTAAATAATTGTATGTCCTACCTTTTTTTTTTTTGCTATTTACCTGTGTAGCTCTAGTATGTTCATGATATGTATTATCAAATTCCCATTTTTCACATTTTATGGTTTGATTATATACGTTTGTTATTTTACACTCATCAGTTATAAAGAAGTCATCATCGAAGAACCCAGTATGATTTTCATATTGTATGCACCTATATAAACATCAGACATTAAACATTTTAAAATGTATGTATAAAATACCTATACAATTATTGAAATAAAAGGATTTTTAGAAAATATGCAGTATTTACGCTTTTAAACCAGCCATTAGTAAAAATATGCAAAATACATTTTCGGATAATAAGTTTAATATCTATGTAACTATAAAAAAGAGTTTATAATGAGGATGGGAACGGCCATTTCTAGGTGAGAATTTGTGAACGTAGAATACATAAGGTTATTTCATTTATATCTGTAAGCAATGATAAACTATTGTTTGGCGAAAGACGATTCCGAACGCAGTTCGGTAGTACATAATTTGAAGTGTCGTAATTTTTTTTGCGATTTTCGTTTAAATTTGGTTTCAAAACACTTTTTAACAAGTTTAAAGTAACGTTTAACGTTAAAGTACTATTTAGACAACTAGGAAAAAACGTGACCATAGACTAGGACAAAGAAAGAATGAAAGAAAGAAAGAAAAAGAAGAAATAAACAGCATTGTAAAACCAATAATTCCTTCGCTACGCACGGAATCTAAAATAGATTTTCACCGAACTATAAATAATTCAAAATTTTGTACAATTTGAATTGGATGTTTATCTAATCATTCAAAATTTCTATATTCAATTTTATAACATAAAATGCGTATTGCAAATGAAAAAACCTTAATTTTCGTAATGATGGACTTTGAAAGTGGTGTAATTTTTTCTAAATTACAACAAAGACTAAAAGAACTAATTACATAACATTAATATTTGAAATATACACTAAAACTACATTGATTCACCAAGTAAGGAACATTACACTATTTAAAAACAATATTTCAATAAATACTAGTTCTAAAACTAGTATAAATCTAGTACTAAAAAAAATCTCGAAAATCGGAAAATGTATAACAGAACCATTTTTAACAAATTTGTAAAATTATAGAATTTTTATGGCTATAAGAATCATTTATATTTAATTAAATCTTTATTAAAATTACGTTTTAAAAACAACGATTTATCGTTGATTTTAGTCAGTGACGTGTTTGTGCGGGGGGGGGGGAAGTTAAGTGTGATTTCTATACCGATAGAAGTTCTTACCATGTGGATGTTAAATAACAACAATTAGTACCTACTTATAATCAGGTACGGCGGCAACAGTCGTCAAAACCATCATATGTAGACCAGCTGTAAATGCCGATAAAAGATGAAGTAAAAACTGTCGTAGTTGATAGGATCCAAAATCCCCTAGAAACACACAAATGTACGTGTGAAAAGGTTAAGTATTTGAATAATAAGCAACAATAATAATATATTATAATTTACACCAATTTACAACATTTTGGTTGTTTATTAATATTAATGAGCAATACAAATAATACAATATAAAGCCATTTAAAGATAATGGTCAGCAGACTTTAAAGTGTTAAAACTTTAAAAGTAATTTTAAAAAATATAGGTTTTTGTATTTGGGTAATTTTAATAATTACAATACTAAAAACTTTTCAACCCGAAAAAATTGCATTTCCCTTAAATTTCGATTCATCGAGGTTCCACTGTATATTTTTTTGATAGAGTTTTTCTATTAATAATACCTATTTTATTGTTATTATGCATGGAAAGCGAATAAAATTAAACGGTCTTAAATTTTGTAGACGAGCCGAGGAAAAAAAGAAATGATTTCCCAAATAACAACAATTCAGGTTTCTTCAAAAAGGTAAAAACGAATGTAAAATAATACATTAAATTTCTTATATTTTTAATTTAATAAAAAAATATAAAGTGTAACATATAGTATATCCAAATTTAAAGTAACGCTTATACTTATCATACGCTCATATTTATATTAATTCGAGTTATTTATTGTGTTTCTTATGAGTTATGATTGATCGAGATCCGAAGTTTTCATGAAGAACCGTTATTTATTTCGACTTATGGAAGTTCTAATGTACGTAATGAATATTTTTAAAATTAAAACTAATTATCAATAACCGAATTTATAATACTTCAAAGTACAATTTTATTTATTATAATTTTCTTTATTATTATTATTATATACAATGTGGATCAACATTATTTGAAAAATGCAATACCTTTTGTTTTATCAAATATTTAATTTTGTTTTTATAAATAGGTATCAGAAGATATAAGGTATTGTGCTATAAATTCATAATTAAATTGTTCAAAATAATTTTAGATTTTGAGTGTAGCGAAGAACGTATTGGTTTTACTAAGATTTTTTTTTATACTGTGTACAAAAAAACGACCATTCTAAACGGTGTTGAACTGTAGTCCCTATTTGTTTAGTAAACCATGACATAAATAAGTGTGTAGTCCAAAATTGGAAATTGTGGAACGGATTTAAGAAGTATGTACTAAACAATAAAGACTAGGTGGTATTCATAGATTTATACATCTAAACGAAACATTCACCCCAATGAATGGGATGCATGGTCGGTCCGAACATATAAAAAAAGATAGGCTGATATAAAACCTTGTGTGAGGCAAATTTGCACTCTGAGAACAGCCAATTAAAAAACTCCGTTTATTATTTCACATGTTTCTGTCCTCGAAATGAAACTCCGCTCACAGAAATTCGTTTTTATGCTAAATGTTCCGTCTAAATGTATATAAGTCTACGTAAGTACCACAAATTAAAATACAACTTAATTCGTAACTAGTACCATTAGATCTACAGTTACGGATACAACACAAATACAAAACGGTCATAGACTAATGATATATAAATAGATCTTTAAAATCTAATACAAGCAAACCATAGTGGCATAAGTCCCCTAGACTAGCGTTTCTCAACCTTTTTTCATTCTCGTATCCCTTGATCTTTCACTGGTTTACGAACCCCCATTTTCCCTTTTTAGCTAAACCAAAAATAAATAGATGAGATCAGTGGCGCTGAACTAAAAATAAATTGGGAAGGGCAAAAATTATTTCTTGGTACCCATCCCCCTGCACTATACAAGTAAACATACCTTTTGGGTATTCACGAACCCTCACCCATCCACAAAAGGTCCCCCCTTAGGGGAACTATTGGGAATCTTAGTTTAGGCCCACCTAGCGGTCTTTTTCCTATAGGGTCTTCTTCAATGACCCGTTTAACTAACGCTCCCTGTTTACGCCATGCATTAATCTGCTCACCTCAGTCTTCGTTTGATAATCTCTAGGTATATTCGGCTTCTGAAAGAGTTCGGGGTTCATCATTATTTGGTTGTTTGCATTCATTGGTTTAACTATCGAAGACATTTTCCATAGAACTTTTCTTTCAAATATTATTAGTCTCGATTCTTTAGTTCTTCTCAGTGCACACGTTTCAGAGCCGAATAAGACATAGGACAATAATTGGTCTTAGAAGTGTTGTGTACATCTTAATTTTAGTTTCTGAGTGGAGTAATGAAGCTTAGGGTTTAACAAAGATGTTTTTATTTTCTATATGTACGCAATTTTTTTACTAGAAGACTTGCTCGGATTACTACGAGTAGCACTTTTTCTGAAAGGAAATTGGCATAGGGAGATGCTTTAAGGAAGTAATTTTTAGATTTTCTCAATAGTTTCCTAAAAAAATGTGAAAAACCGAGAAAAAACGGAAAAATGTACGAAATATAATAAATATAATTTTACGATTTTTTTTGTTTTTGTGAACAACTTTTCTACAAGCAATATTGCTCCAACTTTTAATGGCAGCCACGTTTATAAACGAAAATTTCACTAGGATGATACTTTAGAGAGGTCATTTTTTGATTTTCTCAAGAGTTCCTAGCAAATGTGAAAAACCGAGGTAAAACATAGGAATACCTGGAAAAACGTAGAAAAACTGGGAAAATTTGTACAACATTAAACTTATTTTATTAAAGAAAATATATATAATTTACTTAATTATTTTACTACAAAATGACATCTATATTGTTAACAAAGCATCACTATCAACTGAACTCCTCTCAGAATCATTTTTTCGTTAGTAATGGTTTATCGTTGCTTATAGTCTCCATTATCCTTGAACGTCTTTTTTTAATTTTGATATTTGCCAAATAGTAATTAAAGAATTATAGCAGTTTTGTTTTGATATTATTTATTTGGATGTATCCGAATTTGTTTCTGTTTAAATTTATGATGTACCCACTACACTGGTCAAATTGGTTCCCACTGTTCGCAGTAAGGTAGTCAAATACGCACATTTTCCTTCGCATTCTTACAGCTTCGGATTATTAACATAAAATTACTTGTATTTTATACTAAAAACACTTCTTTATTTTATATTCGGTATATATTGCGATAAAGATACGAATATTCAGATGGATTGACGTTATCAATTGTGGTATTTTAGCAATACTCCGATATAACATTATTGTATTACTTTGATAACTGTACAATATCTGCTGTAGTATGATAAAAGTTTAAAAATGTACTACATTATACCTATATTTATTGTGTTTATTGTTTAAATGTAGGTATTGAACGGAAACCAATTTGGCTCACCTTCATAAAGTACCTTTTTCAAACGGGAACCAATTTGGCATGTGTTAGTGACCAATTCTGATGTACGTAACACGTTTCCAACAAAAGTTGACCTTTCCCTTTTTCATCAAATGTGTACAGTCTTCTTTTCCATCAAATCAGATATGACTACGTTCCCACCAAAACAATTTCTATACTACGCTTATATTAAAAACTGTAAATAATATAGTTATAAAATATACAATACAATATAGAAAATATTAAATTTTAGTTATCGGATAAACCTATTTATTAATGATTAATGGATACTATATACTCATACTATTATATAATACGTTTATCGTACTTATCTTTTATATCGATTATAATTTATAATATTATATTAATATCTTATAAAAAAGCAAACAAATGTATATATACAGAGTAATTTTTTTATTATGAACCAGCAATTATCTTAGAGGATATTATGAGGATTTTAACACTAATATCAGATTTACCGTTTATGAGTTGTAACAGTTTAAGTTTAGACCAGAGGAGTAGGGAAGGGTAACTAATTGCCTACCTATGACCCTTCTAGGCAATTTATTACCCTTTTCCACTCTTCCGATTTAAACTTTTAAACTTTTAATTGTTATAACTCATAAATGGTAAATCTGATATTAGTGTTATGCATATCAAAATTTCTAGAAAAATATTCTCTATTCAAATCTGTGTTCAAAAAGGGGGTTTCTATTTAAAAATCAAAATCACTTATTTAAGGTATATGCAGTTATGGTAAAAAATTAAAAATGGTTTTAAAATAAAGCTTAAACGATTCCATAAAGATTAGAAAAAACAGAAATCAAGTTAACTTAAAATCCACATAGATAATTGCTGATTCATGATAAAAAAAATCACCCTTTAGCTAAGGTATACCATATTATTATATCATTTTTTTTTAAATTTGATAATTGTTTTAATAAAATATAATATTTTCTACATTAAACAATATATACACTATACAAATACTATACGATAGACTATATATCATTTTAATATTCTAAATGGAACGAAAAAGCTTATAGTTTTACAAATTTTATTGTATTATATTTTAATTTTTTCTGTTAACAACTTTTCTACCAGATATCTTGCTCAGATTTTTAAGGGTAGCACCTTTTCTGAAAGGAAATCGGTGTGAGGAGGTACTTTAAAGAGGGACTAGTGGTGGCGTTTGGAACTTGGTATACAGCGACGGGGACATTTTTAGAACAAAAACACATACGAGATGTGACCGGTTTAACCGGACCCGCCAAAATGCATGGAGTGGCGAGACTTACGTGTTTCGAACGCAAACCAGTATTAAACTGCCGCATTTAAATTATGTCTGTTTTCACATTATACGGAAAGACTAAGTTTAATTTTGTGCGATTATCTCATCTGCAAATAAAGTTAAATAATATGTTATCAATCTTAACTAACTTAACCAAATATTTGGAAAGAATTAATCTCCTGCAAGAAACAAGGATATATCTGATGAAAACATTGGTCCTCCCTATATAGTAGATGTGTGTTTCAGAATCATTAATGAGACTTTAAAAACTATTAATGCATCTTGCAGTAGGAAAATAAACTGTTTAAAATACCATCTTACGAAATTTTGCGTATTCCACGGACAGCTTATAGAAAAAAACATCAATATTAGAAGATTTAAACAAACAAAAGAATAGAAGACTTCTCCCCTCAATACAATGTCAAATTCTCAAATTTGTTGGTCATATTATAAGACGATATGGTCTTGAAAAAATCAATATCAAAGGAAATAAAAGGCAAGGCAAAAGAAATAGAAGACGTCTTTCTACTCAATTTATTGACCAAATCATAGATCTAATAGAAATCAGATCATGCGAAGCTATAAAACAGGGAAGTTTGGAGAAATATTAATAAAAATACGCTTGCTTAAATGCTTACGACTTGTAGAATGCTATCGAAGAAGAAAAAAATCCCTTGCAAATTTTTCTATTTATTATAGGTACGTCTGCATATATTTTTTTTTTTAACTTGGGTTAAATCGTATAAAATAAAATGAGAATGCAGGTACAATCTACAGATATTTTATCAGGATTTATAGTATATATAATTAATGTTTAATTCGTAAATAATATAAGAAAATGTAGCTAATATATGAATAATCTTAATGTTTTATGATGAATTATGTAGGTAACAAGCATGTCAAGTTATAATTAGATTTTTAAATTAAAAAAATATCTTATCTGTATTCTTTTATTCTTTTAAACTTCGAATATTCATAAATACCATATAGAAAACTTAAATATGAACTCATAATCATATTTAAATTATTTTTCTCTAACTAAAGTGCCTAATTAAAACAAATACCTATAAGTATAAACATAATACAAACAAAATCATAAATAAAATAATTTTATAACTAATCCTTTTTTATTTTTTTTTTATGAAGGTTATTGTCAATAAAAATGTTTACACAAGGATCTAAAAAAAAAAAAATATTTAAAGTGCTTTGCTAATCAGTGTTTAAAAACAATAAACTGCTACTTATTAAAGTTTGAACTGTAGCGATTTGTATGATATTAAAAATGATTACCTATCAATATACAGAGTGATCAATTCTGGGTAAGACATCACTCATTATCTCGTTAAATATTGCAAAGTCAGGTATTCAGAGATAATGGGGACATCGCCCATCACAAAATCATTAAATATACTATCAGATATCCTATCATATATGAATCATAATTCTGATGCTAAATTTAAAAAAAAATTTTCTTTTAATTTTTAGTCTTTTTTGATAAGATTGAAAACAGATATCTAGACACAGTGAAATTTACGAGAAAATATTTGTTGAATACATGTTAATGTATGTTGTATACACTAAGTGTATAAAAGGTAATATGATGTAGATAAAACTTGAATAAAGGTACTTGAAACAATTATATGGTAACAGATGTTTTAAAATATTCTTATTAACTAACTTAAAAATACTAAATGATTTTATGTTAAAATTACTCTTTTTTCTACCTTCTCTTAAAGTTAGGAAAACATAGTGTACAGAACTAGAATTATCCATTCGGCATTTAGTTTAAATTTATTAGAGATTATTTTATACCTACTTACCTAAAGTGTTTTTAACTTTTTTCCATATAAACTTTGACACCCCGTTTTAACTCATTGGTGGTTGAATTTGGGAAATCAATTTATTAACGATTGTTTGTATTGTAGTAGGAACCTCTGTGCAATGTGTCTAGACGCAACGGTTAGGCTGTGTTCTGATATGATAGTCAGTCAGTTTTTTTGACTTATACATTTTGATGTTGAAGAATGGGAAATATAATAAAAGGTTTTTTTATGCCATGTTAACTTAATAAAGTGTAGTAATGAAAGAATATTAAAAATAATAAAATCATGTACCTAATCTAATGTAAATTAATGTTATATGCTACAACATATTAATTGTAATTAACATGGGATTCCATGTTTCCGTGGTTCCATCAACATATTTTTATTTTAACCAGTGGCAGCGCGTCAGAAAACTATTCGAAAAATCAAAAAAACGACTATCTTACTCACAAAGAATATAGAATTTAAAATAATGAAATCGTTGTGCAGTAATTTGAACAAATTTATTATTTAATAACTTATTTCTCGTTTTTTTTGGTTTTCTCAATCATTGTGAACACTACTGTAGATATGAAAAATTGATTTTCTATGTCAGTATATATATTATTAAAAAGAACAAAATTAATCTCCTATAGTTTTTCAATTGGAGAAAAATGTCTAGTAAAAACATCGTTTGCAAAAATTAAAAACAATTGATACGTCACGACGTACCGTAAATATTTTCCATTTATTCTATAATTTTCTTTTCGGTTTTTCCAAATTATTTTGAAACTTCCTTAGAAATTCAAAATATTACCGCCTTAATCCACCAATTAGAGAAAATTATCTTTCAAATAAAGTGCATCGGATCAAAATTTCTGGTAGATATATTGCCAATAAATCCCTATGCTCCGAATCTAAAATAATAAACATAAAAAACACAACCAATAGAACCTTCGCACCTTCGAAATCTTATTAAGGTCATTTATTCCTGTATGGTTTTTTTTCTCTATGATCATTTTTATTACCATTTTTTTTGGCAATATACTAACTATAGTAATTTTAGTCTTATAATTTAAATGTATCTCATAGGCATTTTTTCTAGAGGAGAATATAAAATATTTCATTAATAATGTCATTTAACTATTTAAAAATAATATATATATATATATATTTTTTAAATAAATTATGTATCTGTCCATGATTACTCATTATGAAATTTATTTCCAGGTATTTGTAACCAAAACAAAATTGTACTAATTAATAAATTTAGAGTTTGTTCGACCATATTATATTATTTATAACAAGGCAAAATATATTTATAACATATTCTATTTCCACAATACTACTAACCACAGTTGGATCATGCTACTAAAAATAATATTGAAATGTGATAAATCATAACCTCAATTTTATAATATCTATTCTGTATTTATATGAATATTATCTATCTAAAATGATTTCATTTGTATCTGTAAAGTTTGTGTGTTAATCCGTAAATACGACATTACAATTTGTAAACCAGTTATTTGTTACCCTGTTGTTGATGAGTACACTTACCGTTTATAAAGAAGAAATTTAAAGTATGTATTTAATTTATTTTTAAATTTTGAATAGAGCGAAAAAGCTTATGATTTTACAAAGATTTGTATTTTTTTTTCCTGTGAACAACTTTTCTACCAGCAATTTTGCTCCGATTTACAACGAGAGAACTTTTCTAAAAGGAAATATTACTGGGAAAAAATTTTAGGGAGGTAATTTTTTGATTTTCCCAGGATTTTTATCATCAAATGGAAAAAACCGGGGAAAAGCGGGGAAATGTATAAAATGTAAGTATTCATTAATATTTAATTAATTATTTGAGGGTACTGTGAGAAACTACGTTACTTTGCTTCTTGTAATTATGCCTATGTTATTAAATGAAAATAGAAATGGGGCGCTAAAAAGTGTATACTTAGGGTGCCAAAATCGTAAATATGCTTTTGGTATTTATTTAACTTAAAATATCGACTAGATAGGTCTATAAAATTATTTGATATTACTTTTAAGTTACTGATTAATTGACGTTTATGTTGTAATTACATTTTAAAAAAAAAAATGTTGATATAATAACTATAATAATTTAATCAACACTATTGATTACGAAGACAACAATTTGTTAAAATGTGATAAACAGTAAGTTGATACTTGGTATCCTAGCTATTAAAAAAAAAATGATGTTAATAAAATAACAATACGATTCATTCTGACAAGTATGCATGTAAAAATAATAATATACACATTGTTTGTGTATTCCATTATAGATAAGTATAACTTTTATTTAAATTCATCGTACGAGTTACATAGTTTGAATATAGTACTGCATAGTGGATTAATCTGTATATAAGTTTTTTTGAACAAAAAATATTGCTGTATAGTTAAATGTTAAACTTATTCTAGAATTCGTGTAATAATTGATAATCAAAGAATTTATATTATTATCGATAATAGTATTTTCTAGGTATTTAATAAAACAATTTGTCAAAGTATTTTTTAGATTTAATCATGTTTTATTTTAACTCAATATAATTAATTTTTTTTTTAAATATATAATTAAAGATACATAATATTGATCTAAATTAGAAAATAATTCTTAAAGTTCTATACTGAAGTTTTCTAAACATATAAGTTATTATAATAACGCAAATAAATCGAGTATAAACCTGATATATTATATTATAAAGCTGTCACCACCAATAGTCATTATCTCTGCAATGGCCACTTAATTGTATTTTATTCGTTAATAGTATAATTTTAGATTCTGAGTGAAGCGAAGAAGCTTATAGTTTTATAAAGATGTTTTTTTTTTTATCTGTGCGCAACTTTTCTATCAGAAGACTTGCTCAAATTTTTAAGTGTCGGACCTTTTCTGAAATCGGTGTGGGAAGGTACTTTAGGGAGGTCATTTTTCGATATTCTCAAGATTTTTCTTATCAAATTTGAAAAACCGAAAAAATGAGACCCAAATATTGATCTCGGTAAATTTCCCTGAAATGCCGTGATATTTCACTTGGCCAAAATTGCCACGGTAATAAATTTCATTAAAATAATTGTGGTGACACTGTACAATCTGATTCTGAAATATAAACCATAATAAATGATAACAAGTCCGAGATATCAAACAAAACAAAATATGTTATATCAGAAATGGGTCTCATGGCGATCAAAAAAAGTTTGGCGAAACCCAAAATTGGGTCTCATGACAAAATTGGCAAGTTTACAAAAACTAGGGAAGCACTTTCAGAGATAATTTTTTGGTTATCCCAAGAGTTTTCTCAGTAAATTAGAAAAACCGGGGAAAATATGAAAAACATAGGAAAACTGGGAAAATCGGTACAACATTAAACATATAATATTAAAAATAATATATAAAGCCTATTTAATTATTTTACTATAAAATAAAATATATTTTTGACAAAATATCATTTATCAACTGAACATCACTCAGAATCGTTTTTTCGTAAGCAATGGCTTACGAAATGGCTTATCGTTGCAGGTATACATTTAATTATTAATATCAGTTCCTTTCCTCATTATCCTAGAAAGTCTGTTTTAATTTGATTATTTTATATAGAAAAATTTATCTACATTAATAATTTATTTACTGCGTGGTTTTAATTGTTACAAAAATATATATAGTATATAGGATGGACATAAAATAGGAAAATATAATTTTAAAATATCAATGTTAACTTTTCACTCCATAATGTTCTTAAGTCTATGAAATTTAAACTAAGTGTTAGTAAACTTATAATGTATTTATAGTTAAATTTTAATTTTTTTTTAACAACCATAATTATTAGAATAAATCAAATATTAATAGAAAAAAATTAACAACATTAAAAATAAACATATGAGTACCTTAATGATTACTTAATAATTAAATAAAGATTGATGTTTAAAGTTAATCATGATGTATACGTTTTTAATTAGCAGATATACGTGTTTAACATTAGTTTTTTAATAAACATACATAGGTGTAGGTATCATTACATATCATAACAATTATAGGTTTTATAACAGACATTTTTTTTAAAATTAAAAATTTCCAAAATAGTAATCAGTTAAATTTTCATTTATTTAATAAAAACTTATAACTCTGATACGTGTATTCAATGTGCACTATACTCATACATATTTGTGCTGTGAAACTGATAATTTAAAAGTATAATAATTATTTAGGTAACACACGGTGTCATTGTACGTTGCACATATAAACACTTGGTACCTACTTATATAATAATAGGTAATGATGATAAAAAAAAAACTCTGTAATTTGTATCGTTTGCTAACAAATTATTTTTCAAATTTTAAATTGAATACAGCAACTAGTAACTACTGCGGGTTATAGTTTAAATGAAGATAATTCTCTGTAGAATTTATACGAATTTGAAACAGTTGTATTCACATTTTTTACATTAAAAACTATACTTACCCAAGTAATATGAGCACCTACCTATGCAAAATAATAGTAAAACTATTCTGGTTGAAATCACGAATACATTAATTGACCGTATTGATATTAGTTTTACATTCAACCATATATTGAACCATATATTCAACAGTTTCAACAATTAACTTTTTATTTGATTACTTATTTAAACATTTTAAATTTGCATAAGTTTATAATTAGTTGCAAACATTTATTTACAACATAAATCGAATTCTACGAATATCTATTCTAATAGAAAAAATACTTAGGAAGAAGAATTTTTCATGTAATAATTACTTCAAATTAGCCATTTTCCATAAAAAAAAAAAATGAAATCAACAACCTTTGATACAAATAAATTATGCATTTTAATTTACAATAATAAAGGCAGATGTAAAATGACCTGCCTAGTAATCGTGCAAATGTCAGGTAGACTGGCTTATGAATTGCCTGACGTGTTAAAAATGAAACATGTTATTTTATGTTATTTAACAAAACAAATAAAATGTACAAAAAATAGTTAAATAATTGATGCTTGTGCTGCATAAAAAACTAAGTTATAAATTTCTATTTATTGATAGCAGAATCATAATAAATGTAGACTATGGTATAGTCATTTTTCATAGAAAAAATTAGAACAGAGGTACTGGAAATTATTTTTGTAATAGAATCTGATATCGATAATTTACTTTTGTAATATTTTCTATTTTTAGAAGACTTTCCTTATATGACATGGAGTATTAAATGACTATGAGCGGATCGAGGAATGTATTGGTTTAACAAAGAGAAATTTGAGTTTAATGTAGTATTTTTTTTTTAAGAATTTTAATATCAAATTTTGACGAAAATCGTAAATATTACGGACTTTTAAAACTTTTTTAACCGAAATTCGCTCAGAATCGTAAAGATTAATAGTTGCGAACAGATATATTAAACTTCTCTCAATATCTCACCTTTCCAACTTTTAACTTACAAGAGTGGCCCACCCATCATGCAAAGGATTTCCATTTTTTTTTGTACTTACCAAGGCGATTTTATACCTAGTGGGACCAAAAGCGGCGAAATCCTAAGAAAAACCCAAGTGACCAACAATATATTATGCAGTTTAATCATTTTTAGACTCACGAGAGTAACTTGGTTTTACTCTAATGTGTGTGTTTTTTTTTAAATTACGTTTTTTGTTCACAACTTTTCTACCAGAAATCATTCACCGATCATAAATTTTAGTGATGGATTCTGGTAGGAAATTTTGTCAAGTTGATGCACTGAAGTTCTGATTTCATTTGTTTGAATTTTTAATACATATTTTAAACTTATGAAGTTATGAACTAGCTATCGTCAAAATTGAAATAAATATTATTTATTTCTAAGTTTTTGTTTAAAATATTGTCCAATGCAAGTTACTCAATTGTATTTTACAAAAAAAACAAAGATACAATTTGCACTGTATATTACCTATAATGTGCTTATAGTATGTGTTCTGGTTGAAATATTTTTTCATCCAAAAATATACAATGGTAGGAATATTAAATGTAGTTATTAGACGATAAAAGTTTCTAATAATCGCATTAATGTATTTTTTATGTTATTATGTTGAGAAGAGCTAAACCAGTGATCTCAAACTTAAATTAGTAATGGCCATATATTTATACGTTCAAGATTCGTGGGCAAAACAAAATGGTTTCGACCTTTTTACCTCACTTTTTTTTTTTACGCAATCCAAAAAAAAAGAGTTGATACTGGGGATAATGTTGTAAGTAGGAAGTAGTATACATAAAGTTATTTAATTTATACCTGTACACAACGATAAACCATTAATAATGAAAAATGATTTGGAGCGAAATTCTGTCTTATCAAATTTTGAAATTTCATAGTTTTTACAATTTTCGTCAAAATTTGATCTTAATGCGATTATGAAGAAAAAAAAAACTAGTCTATTAAACTCAAATTTCTTTTTAAACTACTAAGTACAACTAATAATGTACCTTGTGTTAAATTTGGAAGCATTGCTCTTAAGTCATATAATTTTAATAGCAGATACCTACCAAATGAAAATACATATAAAAGCATGAAAATATAAAATACCTTTAAATAGCCTAGAAATATAATATTTTGAAAATTTGATCAAGTCTACAAAAAGCCAATATAAGTAGTTTGTGAAATTAATTGTGACTTATAATGTAGTCGTTTTTTTTAGTTAAAATTTTATTGAAAATTGTAAAAAATCATGACATTTAACAATATTATATTCAATCAAACTCCGTTCAGAATCATTCTTCGTTTTCAATGATTTATCATTACGTACAGATATAAATTCATACATAACTAATAATTCAAAAATAAATCAAATTAATTTATGAATCCTATCTTCCTAACTTTCTACCAAAAACAAAAGCACAACCATCAGCTTATTTTTATTAATGTTAAAAAAATATATAAATAAATGCGTTGCCTGGAGTATTATAATAAGTGTAATACGATCGGTTTCGAATTAAAAATTCATCATCAGGTATATCACAGTCAAAATGTAAAACACGACTCATTTCTATTTATATATTTTTTTACTATATTTATTTACGAGTATTAACCATTTTAGTAATTTTGTTTTTAGTTTATTATTTTATTATTTGATGTTAAAAATTTAATCACATTTTCAAAACATACTTATCTCAAAATCTAAAAAAAATATTCCAGGGAATTATTGAGTTATGGATATTCATTCTTATTTTATTTTTCTAATAAATAAAATATGTTGAATCTTTTATCCATAATACTTTCATATAGATATTATTGAATGAAAATATAAGTTTAAAAGAATTATAGAGGAAGGACTATTTCCCCTTTCCAGTGCAATAAGTCCTCGTAGGACATTTTGTAAATACTTTAAAGGGGTGATATGGTATCCTCCATCTAAATATTTATAATTTGGCTAATGGCTATATATAATAAACTAAAAAACTAACCAATGGTTTTTTTTTTTAAATTATTATACTAAATAATTATAATAGCTATTACCTATCTATGTATATGAACAAATAACTTTAAATTCGTTCTACATAAATAAATTATAATACCTAATATAATATCAACAATTACCTAACTGAGTTTACAATGGCAAAAGATTTCTTTAAATTAATTCGTTATTTGGTTGGATTGGTATACTAACTGAATTTATGAATAAAACATAAACAAATAATAGATAACTACACGGACAGATGTATATATTATATCGTTAGTTACTTTACCTACTTATGTGCATGACGCCTGTAACAAAATATAATATAATAAGTAGGTACATCAGTAATACAAAATGCATAATATACGTACCTATATAAATTATATTTATTTGAAAATAAAATTGTAGGTAGGTACACATAGTTGATTGATTTCTCTATACCAACGTCGCAGTTATGACGGTCAGCGAAGCCCTAAAGGAATTTTTCATAAGAAAACAAAGCTAACCCTGTAATATATTGCTTTGCGTCAATGTGAAATTGTGACGAATGTATTTTGGCCGATTGATGTTAGTTGGAGTATATTTGGCTTCATTCCATTTAAATGTATATAGAGTGACATAAAAATTAGAAATACTCAAAAGCTATTGCTAAAATAATTATAGGTACCTATATATCAATTGAAATATAATGACGCAACAAAATAAAGTATTTGATTAGGTATTACGCCTTTTTTTTTAGTAATCTAACCCACATGCACCTTTTATATAATAATTACATGTTTACAAACCATACGTACCTATATAATACCTAATCATTATCTAGTTTAGTTATATTTTCGTTACATATTCATCTTGTAAAATTACTATGTAGGTACACGCATTTTAATTTATATTTTAAACGTGTTAAATATATTATATATATAACACATACATTTTATTTATTGTATAGGTATTGATATTTTTAATGACTTCCGTTTCGTTTTAACCATTATTTTGAATCAATCTACAATAATTAATAAGGTTTTTAAGAGAAAAAGATTAATTAAATATGTTATTTAAAATGTAAAAATCGCATTTAAATTTAAATTATACAAAGATAAAATAATAATAATTAGCAACAGACTATCAATTACAATATTTTTATCAAACAGTAGACAACCTGTACATACATCTGTAGTAGGTATATATTTTATACGATTACCAGATCCGATATTTTTTAGAATTTCGTTTTATATTATAGGTACCTTAAAATTAAACACTAATGGCAATGTTTTATAAAAGTATAAATTGGTTGGTATACAATAAATTCATTTGTATTTGATAACTATAGTAAATATAATTTTCGTTTACACACATATATATATATATATATATACATAGATTAAAAACACGTGTTCATTAGATATAAAGTTGATTTTGTAATATGAATAACTTAATGTAGATTATAAACTATAGGAACTCTACAGGTATACTAATCATTAAAATTAAGGTCATTATTATTCATTAGATACATTTTAATGTACATACAATATGATAACCTAATAAATATATATTATATTTATAGTTACATTATAATAAAATTATGTTTAAAACTGGGAAAGAATAATACATATTTTATTGAACTTTTAGACCTTGATCATATTTTTAATAAATTATATTATAAGTACCTATACTATAATATACCTACCTACATATTTAGTGTGTAATACAATAAATTATACTTACTCATTAGTTGATTATACCAGTCAATATATTGATTTTTTACTTAAATGTTATTTATATTTTGTTAAAATTGCAATGAATAATACAAAAATATAGTCATTTTGTTTTCTTACATTTCTTATATTATTAATACTAAATAAATATATATATATTGGTATTAGGTATAACCAATACCAGTATGTATATATTCATTAATTTATTAATTTACCGAGTAGAGCCTCTTTTTTTATATAAACATATTTTAATGAAAAGTAAAAATGTTCAAAATGAATAAATTTAAGCATTACTTATTTAAAGTATTATTTGGATTATATACTTAAATACCTATATACACACAAAAAAATCATTCAAATAAAACATACATTTTATTACCCAAGGTTTAATATTCTTTGATGTTTGAAAATTATAAAGTATAAATTACATATTTTATATTATGCTTAAGTATCAGAGCATAGGATTATTAAACCTTACTGGGTTAGTTTTATTTTTTAAAGAATAATATTAGTTTTAAAATATTACAGTACAATCGTGTTTAAAATAATAGTATATTTTACTTTAAATACCTATGTAATAACATGTTTAAAATTGAACTTAGTTTACTATCCAAACCTAAATAATAATAATAGTAAAATTAGGTGCCTTTATTAATAACTAGTATTTAAATTTTAAATGTTATTTCTTACCTAAATTATCCATAAGGAAATCGATGCTAGCACTTTTTTCCATTTTTGAATTTTGATGCACTAATTTTTTTTTACGTTTTAAACTTAAATTTAACTAAATTAAAACAAACAAATTTCTAGTTTAAATTAATAAATAAATCAAGGATTTCATTTTGAAATGTTATTTATGTGAGAATAATGCGTTAAGGGCAGTGGATTATAAGCTGTTTTGAGCGTCGCAGTCAAATAGAAACTATAGCGCGAAGTAGTAAGTCAGCACTGCTGCCATGTCGGATTACTTAAGAGAACACATGGGCTCAGAATTTATCAATACACTGAACCGACTGATACACGCGATACGATAACATTTTAAATATATATATGTATATTCATATATAATATAATAGTCACATACAGAGTGCGTCAAAAAAAAAAATAAAAAATTAGGTAAATATATATATATATACTACCAATATTATATTACCTAAGTACTCTTTTCAGTTTTATATTTATTTAATAGTTTTTAAACAATACAAACATTTAACCTATGTATCATAAAATGTAGATTTTTTCTGAAGGTAATACATTTTCCTAAACTATCTACTTATTAAACTAAATTAAATTAATTTAAATTTAGTTTAACACTGTACTTAGATAAGTTATGTACTTATGTATATATAATAAACACATAATGAATTATCTAACACTAAACTTTTATCTAATTGGATACAATTTAATGTCAATTATTGTTGGTTAATGCATACAGTATACACTTTAAGTTATTATTTTTCTTATTTATTTCTACTTTTTAATAAAAATATGATATTATTATTTTTTTTTTTTTTTGCTTACTTTTATTTTCATATCTATTTTTTTTCTTTCTTGATATTTTTTCCGATACCCTTATATTCATTAAATAAAAAAAATAGAATGCTTTTCTAAAAACAAGCAATTTTAGATTGATAAGTACCTACTTAATAAAATATCAAACATAACTAATTATGACAAAAATAAGCAATGTAAAAAAAAAAAACTGCTATTACTGCTGTGTGCGCCAATAATGTGGGTGGAAAGTTGGAAAGGTAGGATACATAATGTAATTTAATTTATGTCTGTAAGTAGGTATACTAAGCAACGATAAATACCATTGCTAACTAAAAACGATTCGGGCCTCTTGTTGCTTTTCTATTGAAGAAATACATCTGATAGAAAATATAAGCCGCAAAAACTTAAAAAAACGAATCATAATGCCGTAAGTCGTTAATTTATAAATTTTCAGTTTTCGTCTTTTCCGTTTTCTTTTTTTTTTTTATGAAAAATACTTGGAAAATCAAAAAATGACTTATTTCGTCAGCAACTAGATCCAAAATGCAACAAAAAAATAAAAACGTTTAGCATTTTTTGACTAAAGCAATATTTCTAGTAAAAAATATAATTCGTAAAAATTAATAACAATGAAATCAGTAATGCCGCGGTGCTCCATACATATTTGTCCGATAATTTTGTTTTCGATTTTTCCCAATTATTTTGAACATCCTTTGAAAAATTAAAAAAAACCCTCTTTTATGCACTGTGATAATCGAAATATTTGACACTTAAAATAACTTTTATTCTATTCAGTATTTTTTTAAAAATAATTATTGTGTATAACTGTTACAGATATTTGTTACAATACTTATTACAATATAACTATATGTAGTTGTAAACGTTGTTTCTCAAAACTAACTGATTACTTAAAAGTTAACAACAAACTCTTGTTACAACCCCAAAAATGTTGTGTTTTCTAATGTTTTTTGTTGATTAAGATAAAACGAATGCAGTAACTACTGATATGGTTATCCATGAATTTATGAAAAATTAAACGACCCAACACGTAAATTGAATTATAATTTACATTAATTGTTGTGTAATTGTAGGTATACAACTACCATTACTACTATAATATACTTGTGTATACCTACTTACACTACTAATACTTACCTATGTTTGTTGTAATTTTTTTTAAATTTTATTGACTAATATATTAATAGTTTAAGTAACAAAGAAACTAATAACTATTGTATTATATTTGTGTTGTTTGTAAATAATATATATCTGTATAGGAATTAAGTAAATTAAATATGCTACATGTGAGATTTAGTTTTAGAGCCTATGACTAATTTATTCGATAATTTAACGTGCGCGAGTTTTCTATCCATATTTTATAAAGGTTTAATTATCTAATATAAATTTTGAAACTTTTTAAATTCTAAAATTTAAAAATAATAATGGTAGGTAAAAGTTAAATGGTTTTATAGTTTATTTATGCGATGTCTTTCAGTGGGCTGTATAAATTATGAAATTTTAATGTATGCACAGATTTAATTTTAGTACGGTATTACGGCCTAATTAAATATACAAAGTCATCATCTTTTCTTTATGTAATAATTGTATGTAATTTCATATAATGTTTGATTTATTATGAAATAAAATGTTATTATTATAGTACAGTTTTTAGAAGATGGTGATTCATTATTTTGAAAATTTTAAATGACAATACACTCACTTACATATAGGTATGTGTTTTACCTAAGTAAACATGAGATAATAACATTGTACATTTTTTGTATTTTTACCATTTATAACACAAAGATTTCAAGAGAATAATGTACACGGGTTAACGTAAATTATAATTAAATAATTAAAATAAAATTTGATATTTATTCAAGAAAATTTTAACAAGAAAATTAAATTAAATAATTATATGTAAATTTCTACTGGAAAATAAAATGAAATACGAGTTATGCAATATATTTCTACTATTATATATACTATTATATTATTATTATCTAGATTATTTAAAAAAAGTTAAATTCATAACACGAAAAAATAATAAATTTTACTACCTGTTGCTTTATGCCTAATAGAAAAAAAATAACATTACACATATGTTAATCCAGTGAAAATCGTAATTTTTAATAAACTTTAAATGATTGTGTCTTAAGTTGATAGGTAACTGTTTAGATAAAAAAAATTATACCGAAGAAAGTTGCCTGCTAAAAATAGAACTATACGGCCTATTCGAATCTGGTGTTCAAAGCATGTGTTAGGTACTATTTGTAGTCAGTTGTCTTGCACACGCGTACAACGAAAATATTAAAAACTATAAATGTATCCTGAAATGTGTATTTCAATACCCCATATTACCTCTCAAAACCCGAATTTAAATCCAAGGTTATGCATCCTAAATATTTAGTGGTATATAAAATACGTGACACATAATACACAGAGTGATTCAATTATTACGAACAGGGAAATTTTCTTAGAATAAGTGAATTTGATTTTTGGATTTTAAATGGAGCAAAGAACTATAATTCTACAGAGATGTTTTTTTTTTTTTTTTATCTGTGCGCAACTTTTTTACCAGAAGACTTGCTCGGATTTGTACGTGTAGCATCTTTTCTGAAAGCAAATCGGCGTGAAGAAGTACCTTCAAAAGTAATTTTTTGATTTTTTCAAGAGTTTTCCCAGAAAATGTAAAAACCGGGATAAAAATAGGAAAACCGGGAAAATCGTAAAAAAAAAAAAAATGGGAAAATTTGTATAACGTTAAACAAATTCTATTAAAAAATATATATAAAGCATTTTTAATTATTATATTATAAAATGATATATATATATTGTTAACAAAACATCACTATCAATTGAACTTCGCTCAGAATCGTTTTTTTGTAAACAATAGTTTATCATTGTTTACAGATATACATTAAATTTCCATCTATATCTTGCCTTCCCAATTTTCCACCTACACCAGTGGCTGCACTCGTCCCCATTATCCCCTTATATTTAAGCTTTAGTTTTTTTTTAATTATTTATTTAATGAAAATTTACAATCTATACAAGCAAGTATAATAAGTAAATGAGTGGAACACAAAATGAGGCGGTAAAAATACAAGAAAAGAAAACAATAAGAATGAATTCCACATTAGTTTCATTATTTTAACGCCTGAACATATAAGCGGTAATGGTAATAGGAAAAAAAAGCACTGATGAAAGAAAAAAATATTTATTTAATATTTACCTACTACAAAAACTACAAACAGATATTCTTACAATAACCGCTATTGATAAATAGACTACAATTAATGTACTTTATTTTGTATTTTTATGTATATATTTATTTATTTATAGGATTATTTAAAAATCCTGAATCTAAATATAATATATATTTGGTACTTATACCTACAACATATTATTTTATACTATTCTATATAGGGTTTTTTAAGCAATGAATCAGAAAAATAAAGATAAGATAAATATAAATATATATAAATTAATAAATTTCTATTCTGATGTGAATTGAGAAGATTTTTTGGTCATTTGTTTCGTTTCCAGCTTTAGTTTAACCCTATTTTCAATTTGTTACCCCTACTTCTTATACCTGAAATGTGTTTTTACTTGAGATTTTTAAATAACAACACCCCTTTCAATCACAAATTTAAATAGTGAATATGTTTCTAGAAATTTTAACATGCATAACACTTATATCAGATTAACCGTTTATGAGATATAAAAGTTTAGAGTTTTAGACCAGTGGAGTAATAAGGAAGTGTAATAAATTACATATCTATCGCTTGCTGATTCATGATAAAAAAATCACTCATTATACAGTAGGTGTACTAAAAGAAGTTATATAGATCATATTTTTAATTCGATATTGTTATTTAATGTGAATAAACTGTTTGAAATACATTCCTTAAACTACCTAGCTTTAATCTTGAGATTACTGACGTTTTTCGTATATTAACATGTACGTATTATATTTGAATTATTATAGGCTAGTACTTACGTTCCAATAATAGTATTTTTAATTATGGTGTAAATACAATAAAAAACGACAAAAAACTTCTTAACTGTTACATTTACACAGTATAGGTTTCTGGTATATCCTATTTTGTTTATTCAGTGAAGAATATTCGTAATGGCTGGACATTTTCCTGAATACTTATAATGTTATAAAGATATATATAGCTCTAATACATCTAATTACAACTTCCCACCTACAACAGTTGCTGCACCCACATACAAAGCAATTCCTTCTTTTTTTTATGTAAAAAAAAATACTGAATTATGTAAAATTCTCTTTGGAAAATTAAACGTTCTATAGTTAATATATTATAGATATAAATATATGTATTATATTATTGTAGAATACATAATTATTCACGTCTTTACAGAACATTCAATATGTATTATGTGTTTGTATTTTTGTAAATTCTTTCTTAAAGAATTATAGAATTAAACCATTCCAATTTTTTTTTTTTTTTAATTATATTGAAACTACATTTATTGATAAAA